TCGATGGAGGTGAAAATATAGCTGAAGCCGTTTTAAATCGTCATTGGCCCCATAATATGGATATGTATATGCTGTGCCGTCAGAGTGACGGAAACGACCTGATGAGGAACCGATAACATTATGTAAGATATTTTTTTGGAACTTTGCATATGTTTTTGTCCACTTACGAACATTCTTGTTCATACTTGACCATACAAAACCCCCGCTGATTAGTTTGATTGTGGCTTGTACATCAGGATACGATATATTATGCATGGCCCCTAAAAATCTCCGTCCGAATATCTTTGGAACAAAAGGTCATGGCTGTCCCGTAGAAACATCACACGTTTTGCTTACCCTGTCAAATGAAGTTTCTTCGAGCACCAAAGTAGTACCAACCTACGTAACTCACACCAAATAATGCATTGTACATATCTGAGTCTGGAATGCTATTTACACTTTCGTTTGAAAAATATTAGCGCTCTGTAAAAAGCCACTGTATCTTGTGAAACATTTATATAACTGAACAACTGTTTACAGAAAATGTTAGCAAATTTAACATTTTGAACTTGCTTGTAAATTGTGTTTATTTGAGAATAAATTATTATTAGTCTGCTTAGCATAACATCCAAATTTTGTAATGTTCCTAGCTTGTGATAATCGATTTCAGATTAGATGAGAGCGTTTATCAAGGTGCATCTACTATTTCTTCATTATTGCCTATGGTATGCAGAGCGCTGTTTATGATCTGCAGACACTGCTAAAATGCCGGAAATGATTTATTGCTCAGTAGGTCGTTAGCCATTGTCGTTCTAACGTACCATACCTAATTTGAAGGGGATTTATTCTGTTCGCTGAAAATTATGATCGTCCCCATCAAGTCAAGTCAAGTCAGATACAACGTAGAACTTTGTACGTAAGTACATCAGTTCATGTCGCCATACCACATCAGCACAGAGATAGAATTTTCAATTCAAATCCAATAGTAGAAGAGGTAGTAAAGGTATTAGAAGTAATCGGAGAGGTTAGGATTAGAAGATATTATTCAAGTATAATTCAGTGAGAAAAGATTAGAAAGTCAAAACTAGAGGGGTTGAAGAATCCAGAAGATTAAGATCTGAGAGAACACAAAGAATAAATGCACCAGCGCCATTGCAAACGGTTTTGAGCCATGTCATTCAAGGTCTCTAACCTTCGCAATGATCGAGAACAGCGATGGGTAGCAAAAGCAAAGATTGGTGACTCTCATCTCGCATACCCCAACCAGGTAGTCGACAACTACCGACATGGCTAAGTCCACTCGTCAATGACTTCATGGATTTCTGCCATGTTTTGGTTTGGCCGCCCCTAGCTTTCTTCCAACCTACTCCTACACCACAAAACAAGGCTCGTCGAGGCAGTCGGTGGTTAGGCATACGCAAGACATGTCCCAACCACCTCAACTGATGAAATTTCATTACTTCATCGATTGATCTGCCATTCCTACCTAGCACCCGATTCCTAATAACAGCGTTATTCACTCGGGTGTCCCACGATATACGAGCAATGCTTCGAAGACACCTATGATCGAAAACCAATAACCGACGAGTATTTTCTACTTTCACTGGCCATGTTTCACAGCCATAAAGTAAGACGGAGTGAACTGCTGCACAGTACACTCGTCCTTTAGTCAGCAAACGGATATCTCGCCCACGCCATAAGTGACGCAGGTTGGCAAAAGCTAATCGAGCCTTCTGTATCCGAGCTGAGATTTCGTCAGTCACCAGGCTGTCAGCACTGATGAGACTCCCCAGATAAGTGAAGTGGTCTACACGCTCGACTACTTCACTCTCTATCACTAGTTCAGGTGCCGATGCAACCCAGTCTTGAAGCAACATTTTGCATTTCGAGGGTGAGAACCGCATCCCGGACATGCTTGCATTGTTGCCTATGGTAGTAAGAAGACTCTGCATTTTGTCAGCGTCTTCACCAAGTAGGAGTATGTCATCGGAATAGTCTAAGTCAATAAGCGAGCCACCTGGTAGGTCAACCCCTGAAAAATCTGATGAGCTTAATGTCAACTCTAAGAGGATGTCTACGACAAAGTTAAACAAGAATAGGTAGAGTGGACATTCCTGATGGACACCACTTGAAGTGAGGAATTCCGGTGACAGTTCGCCATAAGCTCTCACTCGACCAGTGGTGTTCGAGTAGAGAGCTTGTATAAGGTTAATGTACTTCTTTGGTACACCTTTCAATGACAGACACTGCCACAGAACCTCACGATCCACTGAGTCGAATGCCGCCCTTAGGTCCAGAAAAACAACTATTGCAGGACGTCTAAATGTGTGTCTGTGTTCCAGGACCTGTCGTAGTGTGAAGATGTGGTCTATGCAACCACGTGCAGGTCGAAAACCAGCCTGGTTTTCTCGCGTTTGCTCTCCACGAGCTTCCGTTAAGCTTCGAAGTATTACTGAGGCCAATATTTTAGATACCATATTAGTTAGACCGATTCCCCTGTGATTGTCACAAGAGGGCTTTTGTCCTTTCTTATAGATTGGGACAATCAATGATTGAGACCAGTCGGATGGGATTACGTCCAGTTGCCAGATTCTACCTAAGATCTCAGTCAACCTAGCTGCTAAAACTGTACCACCGTACTTAAATATCTCACGGGTCAGTCTATCATTACCTGCAGCTCGTCCTCGCTTCAGATTTCCTAACGCTTTCTCAACTTCGTAAAGCCTATGGGGACTTACGTCGATTTGCCATTCAGGATGACTGGAGATCGTGGGTAACCAAGGAGTGGCTCAAGGCCAGTTGAACTGATCCCTAAAGTGTTCTGCCCATCGATCCAGTCTCCTGGATTGAGAATGGATAATAACACCATCCTTTTCCGAAATAGTCTCACTCACACTTGGGTTCCTAATACCAGTTTCCTTAATGAGTCTAAATAGTTGCCTACTGTTGCTTATCGCCGCTGCCTTTTCCATCTCCCTCGCTTTCTCCACCCATCGCTGTTCTCGATCATTGCGTAGGCTTTTTGTCAGCCTACGTCTAAGCTGGCTCCGCTCCTCATCGTACTCAGAGCCAGGCGGGATGAGTTTTCGAGCATCCATCGGTTCGGTAGATGCTATTGAGATCCACGGCCTCATCCTAGCCTTATGGTTTACCTTACTAGAAGATATCACTGCTGTTCCCACAGCCTTTTTGATATCATTCCAACCTGCTTCTTTATGGGAATCGCCTACATGGTTGCTTGACACTGTTTCTAGTTGCTCCTGAAATATTTTCTTAGTTCGATTATTATTAAGTAAATCCCTAAGAGGCTTCCTTACGGTGCCTTTCCTACGTCCTGTAAGCCTCTAACAGATACGAGCTCTCACTAGAGCATGATCTGAATCTAAACACGTGCCCCACAACGAGCGACAGTCCTCTATCGAACCCCTCCATCGGTGGCTGATGGCGATGTGATCTAGTTGGGTCCAACGTTTTGTGGCTTGTCGATTTTCTTATCTAATGTAGTGTGATGTCTTTTTGGACTCGCCTGTCTCGTTCTGTAAGATATATCCCTCCAGCTATTTTTGTGGTGTTATCTTTGTCTAATTGACCATCTCCAACCAACAAGCTCTGCTTCACTTTCAGGCGGTGTCGACGGAGCCAAAATTGATAAAATATGCTACTATTCCGTCCCCTTTTAGGCTTCTCATGATGATATGAAGTCCAGTCTCCCAGATCCACTTGACTGAGAACTTGGTAAAGGGCTTGTTGGTTGGTTAACGGGATGGCTTTTATAGCAGTCTGCTTTATTAAGTCCAATGGTTTAACTGTACCCTGTTTAGTTAGGACCTCTCATATATTGCCTGCAGCTTCATCCGGAAGCCGAAGCTTGCGCGGCGCAAGTTGTAGCGCTGTGAATGAATATGGTTTGCCAAAAAGTGATTTTTATATCTGATGAACCAAAGTTGTGGGTCAGTGACAATAAAAGTAGGAATAGAAAGATTAATGGACCTCACGGATGGCATTTAAGAAAGACTTCTTGTGTCGTAATCTGTATATGTTTAGACAGAATGAGTATTTCATGATCTGTGTGGCGCAATAATAAACGTCCTCAACGATTTGTATACACCGCCGGGCGTTATCTTGTAACTATTACCAGGCTGAGCAGTATACGAAACTTAGGAATATAATGAACTCCGACTGCCACCACACGCTGTTATCCGAAATTACCTGGTATTTAAGGATCCCAGGGCCAGTTAGGCCAGGATTCAGGACAAAGATTTTGGATATATTTAGTAAAGGATCACTGGATCCAGAAGTCTATATTCTGAGGCGACTGGTTGTAGTAAGTGAAACAAAGTATGTTGTACCCAAACATGATCTGTTACGATGAATGATCCAGTGCTTTCAATTGAGTGTGTCTAGTAATACTAATGAGGTCAGCATCAATTTACAAAACTTTCAGAGCTAATTGTTTCATGTATTTATTTGCTTGTACAATTTTCTCCACATCCAGGTAGTATTTTTAAAATCATCACGTGTATTCATTTTTATCACAGAATGAGTGTATTTGTCATCCTTAATCTTACCTTCTCTCCGTGAATGACTTCACTTGATTTGTGTTAGCTCATCAAATAAATATTGTATATCCTCAATGTGTTGAAAATATTTTTGTGAAGTGGGTCCTCGTTTAAATTGATTTTTATAGATTTTTCATTCAATTTACTAAATATTATTTGTCATTCACATCACATGAAGTTAGGAATAGGATGACCTGCCTTTGTACAATTACTCAAGAATCACGATTTTCCGGAGGTGAAGTTTTTATTTAGCAGCCTTGACTAATTTACTTGCACACGTCACTTAGTTGTATATGTTGGTTTGACCGGAAAGGCGAACAGACAACTATAATGAACTACTTCAGCTTATTTAAAAATTTATAATCTCTAAGATGCCAAGTATCTAGTAATCAGGTTACGTCTCTATGATGCATGTTGCAGTTCTCATCAGGCTCGATACCCTTGTAGGAGTGTCTTTGTTTAAAGCGATCGCGGTTACCACGACCGGGAAATAATATCATGTCTCCCCGTTGGTCTTTGGCTTTTTTTCTATAATGTAAAGCTGCTTATTTCAGTAAGTTACCCTGAAGTATGTGTTGCAGTTTGATAACCTCCAAATTGGCTAGGAATTTTTTCTTCAGAATATGTTTAAATTAACAGTTTACACAAGTACATCTCATGATTCATTTATGTTGGTACTAAGGAATAATAGTTCTCTCATTCATATTTAGTCATTTCATGTATATCGTATATAGTGAGTAATATGTCCTGGCCAGCTTGAACGCTGTAATCAGGCTTAGCTTATGGGTCAGAATTTCGTGTTTTCTACCTATTGTTAGAACTTGGTTTTGTTTCCAAATCTGTGTGTACCTTATATCATAGAGAGTTTACAAAACTTTTTCAAAAGATCTTGATAGTGATTCTTTCGCGATAAGTTTAGTGGGGTCTAAATCTGTGGCGGTGAAGTTTAATTAGGTTTAAAATTGATGTTCGAGCCTACATTATTAAGTATAGTCCTAGTAACCACAGTTTCATCCACTAAAATCCTTAATACTGATGTCTGAAATATAAAATGTCGTTACACATTACGTAGTGGACGTCCGCTAATATTATGCTACACGCACATCAACCGGTAAGCCTCAGTAAAATGAATAAAGTAAACAACTGGATTAAGTGTTTTATGGTTCCAAATACTAACATAAGTTCATGCTAAAAGCGTTGATTAGTCTGGATACCGATAAATTTTGCATAGATAACAATTTATCTATTAAAGCTTAAATTTGTATTCCTACAGAAATCGCTGTTCAGCGGGTGTTTGTCTTGACTTATTCTAAAAGTTTCGACTTCTGTGGAACGTTGGTCACTAGTGTGTTTTCATACCAACTTTGTTTTTGAGCTTCAATCAGGTAGTCAGTTACAACTTAGAACTTCGTACGTACGTACATCAGTTTATGTTGCCGTACCATGATACCAGAGACAGTTGTCAATTCAAATCCCATATAAGTAGAGGTTGCAAAAGGATTAGCGTCTATCAAAAAGATTAGGTTTGGCAGATATTATTCAAGTAGTATAGTTCACTGAAATAACTTGAAAAAGAGGAAGGTGATGAGGATTTCAAAAGATTAGGATCTGAAAGAACACAAATAATGGGTGCACCTGAGCCATTGCAAACGGTCATTTGGGGTCTCTAACCGTCAATCGCTTTCATCTCGCGGACCCCAATTAGGTAATCGACACCTACCGACATGACTCAGTCCATTTGTCAGTTACTTGATCGATTTGTGGCATGCTTTGGTCTGAAAACCCCTAGCTTCTAACCTGCCCCTACATCAAGAAACGTCGTCTGAATAGACCACATCTTCACACTACGACAGGTCCTGGAACACAGACACACATTTAGACGTCCTGCAATAGTTATGTTCCTGGACCTTAAGGCGGCATTTGACTCAGTGGATCGTGAGGTTCTGTGGCAGTGTCTGTCATTGAAAGGTGTACCAAAGAAGTACATTAACCTTATACAAGCTCTCTACTCGAACACCACTGGTCGAGTGAGAGCTTATGGCGAACTGTCACCGGAATTCCTCACTTCAAGTGGTGTCCATCAGGAATGTCCACTCTACCTATTCTTGTTTAACTTTGTCGTAGACATCCTCTTAGAGTTGACATTAAGCTCATCAGATTTTTCAGGGGTTGACCTACCAGGTGGCTCGCTTATTGACTTAGACTATTCCGATGACATACTCCTACTTGGTGAAGACGCTGACAAAATGCAGAGTCTTCTTACTACCATAGGCAACAATGCAAGCATGTCCGGGATGCGGTTCTCACCCTCGAAATGCAAAACGTTGCTTCAAGACTGGGTTGCATCGGCACCTGAACTAGTGATAGAGAGTGAAGTAGTCGAGCGTGTAGACCACTTCACTTATCTGGGGAGTCTCATCAGTGCTGACAGCCTGGTGACTGACGAAATCTCAGCTCGGATACAGAAGGCTCGATTAGCTTTTGCCAACCTGCGTCACTTATGGCGTGGGCGAGATATCCGTTTGCTGACTAAAGGACGAGTGTACTGTGCAGCAGTTCACTCCGTCTTACTTTATGGCTGTGAAACATGGCCAGTGAAAGTAGAAAATACTCGTCGGTTATTGGTTTTCGATCATAGGTGTCTTCGAAGCATTGCTCGTATATCCTGGGACACCCGAGTGAGCAACGCTAGGTAAGAATGTCAGATCAATAGATGAAGTGCTGAAACTTCATCATTTGAGGTGGTTGGGACATGTGCTGCGTATGCCTAACCACCGACTGCCTCGACGAGCTATGTTTTGTGGTGTAGGAGTAGGTTGGAAGAAAGCTAGGGGCGGCCAAACCAAAACATGGCAGAAATCCATGAAGTCATTGACGAGTGGACTTAGCCATGTCGGTAGTTGTCGACTACCTGGTTGGGGTATGCGAGATGAGAGTCACCAATCTTTGCTTTTGCTACCCATCGCTGTTCTCGATCATTGCGAAGGCTTTTTATCAACCTGCACCTGAGCTGACTCCGCTCTTCATCGTACTCAGAGCCAGGCGGGATGAGTTTTCGAGCATCTGTCATTTCGGTAGATGCTACTGAAATCCACGGCTTCTCCCTAACGTTATGGTTTTCTTACTAGAAGATATCACTACTGCTTCCACAGCCTTTTTGATATCATTGCAAGCTGCCTCAGTATGGGCATCACTTACTATATGGTCGCCTGTTTTTCTAGTTGTTCCTGAAATATATTCTTAGCTTTATCATTAAGTAGAGCCGTGAGAGGTATTTTGCGATAATTTTCTCATGTCCAATAAGGCTCAAACAAATACGCGCTCGCACTAGAGTATGGTCTGAGTCTAAACAAGAGCTCCAGAATGAGCGGCAGTCTTCAACAGAGCCTCTCCACTGATGGCTTATAGCGATGTGATCTAGTTGGGTCCATGGTTGTGTCGGCTTTGAAGGTCGCTATGTCAAAAGATGTTTTTCCTTATGCTTAAAGTTAATGTTCGCTAGAAATAGGCGATTATCTGAGCACAGCCGCAGCAGACAGTCGCCATTATATGATCTTTGAGCCACGACATCCAGGTGTCCTTTTGTTTCACTTAGTCTACCTAAATGAGCATTCAAGTCGCCAGCCATCAATAGTTTATATCAGAGCGCTTAACTGTTTGAAGGTTAGGATGCTTTCCGTTATACTTATCTTTTACCTCGTCTGAACTGCAGTCATTTAGAGCGTAGGCAGAGACAACAGCGAATTTCTCTATCCTCACGGGTCCTTAGTGTCCAGTTTAGTCGGACGGCGTGTAAGTGGCTGTCTACCAGGATCCAGTCTGAGAGCTAGTTCTGCCCTAAAACTTAATGCTATACCTACACCAGCAAGGTCACGGGAAGCAGTAGCAGGGCTTCCAGATACACGTCGATGACACCAGATGCCAGAGTTCTACATAAGTAAACCTGTTGTCCTATTAGCTACGAAATCGATTTATAAAGCAACTGATTTGTGCTGTCCCCATATAAACACTTATGCTCTATATAAACTCTATTTTCCTAGTTTTTAGACTACATTTTGAAAATTTAAACAATGCTAAATAATTTTAACAGTTTTTACAGTCAATGTTCTTCAAAAATTTCCACTGATAAAAATACGTCTACTAATCCAGAGCTTAGTAAGCACATAGCTTTGTGGCTGTAAAAAAATCATTTCCCTCATGTGAAGAACGTCACTTTAGGTTTGTCCTTGATGTTAGATCTTGTGTATCATTGTTTTGAAAGTTTTCCATTATCCTGCATGCCACTTAGTTTATATCGTCAAATCTTCGTCGATTTGATCGAAGCCAAGATAATCATAGACTCTAACAGACAGCTTACGAAAAGTTTGTATCTAGCTGTATTAGTTGGTCTTTATGTCTTTCGATTGTATCTGGTGGTGTTATGTGACATATAACATTACGATAATAGCAATTCAAAGTCCTAGGAGTAAGATGTTGAGAACTGTTAACTAATACCTGGCTTTCATCACTACTTAACTAGCTTGCCTTAAAACTCACTCTACAAATAATAAAACCATTCCCACATTAGCGTCGTTTTGCTTCAACGACCACACTACATATTAGTAAGGGTGGTAATGCTATCACTAAAAGGATTCTGCAACTGAATAAGTGGTAACCAATTTTTCCAGCTAGTTGAATATCAGTTTTAACTGTAGCTTCTACCTTGACGTGGTTGTCGGGCTTGCCCACCGTGATAACCCAAACAAACTAAATTGGCTAGAACATATGTTCCGTTAGATCCCACCATGCCAGGCACGTCAATCGGAGAACGGTGAGACTAAAAGCAGCAACTCAAGGTCTAAGGGGGAAGTCGTACTGTTGATTGTAGAGGAAGGAGTGTGACAGCAGTACGGTGTTTCCCTTGAACAACCAGCATCTGCAACGATGCTGCCCTCTCACAACGGAAGGAAGGGGTTAGTAAAGGTCGACCCTAAAAATGTCACACCTCAACTTTCGTCCCCGGCAGTAAGGCCGTTTGAAGGGCGGAGTTAACACTTTAAAACTCATAAAAAGGTCGTGTGCGACTGGTCTGAAGCAGTTGTCCCTTGAGTTCTGCGGTCACTCTCCCAGGTCGCTACTAACATTGTTAATCCGATTTCCTTATTAGGTTCTTCAAGAAACACCCTCCCACGGTGTGTGCAGCCGGGAGGTGACATCCGCCAGTAAGAGTTGAGGAAATTCGTAGGTTACTGGTTTTTGACCATAGGTGTCTTAGAAGCGTTGCTCGTATTTCCTGGGACTACTGAGTATGGAATGCTGTTGTTAGGAAACGGGTACTAGGTAAGGATGGCAGATCAATAGATGAAGTAGTGAAACAATCGGTTGAAGCGGTTGGGACATGTGTTACGTATGATGTAGGAGTAGGTTGGAAGAAAGCTAGGGGCGGCCAGACCAAATCATGCCACAAATCCACCAAGTCATTGACAACTGGACTGAGTCATGTCGGTAGGTGTCGATTACCTAATTGGGGTCCGCGAGGTGATAGCGATCGACGGTTAGAGACCTTGAATGACATGAATGGAAAACGTTTGCAATGACTCAAGTGCATCCATTATTTGTGTTCTTTCAGATCCTAATCTTCTGAATTCCTACTGAATTTCTGTCTGTTTTGCATTTCTTTCACTGGGATATACTTCTCGAATCATATCTTCGATCCCTAATCCTTTTGATTACCGTTAATACTTCCTCCACCGCTACTTATATGGGATTAGAATTGACAATTCGTTCCCAGTTTGCTAATATGGTGTGGCAACTGGAACTGATGTAATCACGTACCAAGTTTCACGTCGTTGTCAACTGATTGGCTCTCATTGAAATCATTGAAGCTTTATGTAGTGTAAAGTTAGAGAAAGCATCATGTCTTGGTGGAAAATGTACCTGAGATCACTAAGAAATAATTCAGAGGCCTGGATTTTACTTCTAAACTGATTTGAGGTACTAGATAGGTTTTTGGGGTTGAACGTATTCCTATCCAACTGGTCTAAGTCACCTCACCGTTCAAGATAATAAAAAGGATCATAAATCCCCATGTTATGGCTACAGGAATCAGTTTGATTAATTTAGTATCTGAAATACTACCCTATGTAATCATCAGACGCTTATTACGAAAATCAAACCTGGGGAAACCAACCCGGTTTCTGACAGACGTGAATATATCTACTCTTTATGTGACTTCTGAACACGGCATAGCTACTGACATTTAACTAAAGTTTTACTTCTTGACCCTAAGGCAGTATTCTATTTCGTAAACCGACAGATTTCATGACAGTTTGTTATTAAAAGGCACATCAAAGTACATGTGTGAAGACTTTCTACTTAAGCACTACTCGTTGAACCAGCGAACTGTCATTGCAATCGATAACTTCATTGTTCGTCAGGGTCTTACTCTTTTCGCACTTTCGTCTAATTTTATCTCAGACATACTTTGAGAGATAATGTTCTCATTGTCTGACTTTGCAGGAATCAATCTACCAAAACGTTCACTTGTTGATTTCGAATACGCAGATGATATTATCGTATTTGGTGAGAACGCCAACAAAATGAAGGATATACTTCTCTCTCTCTCTAAATGCAAAGTTTGCTCTAGGACTGGTTTACGTTAGCACCTGAACTAATGAGAAAAAGTAACGTAGTCGACCATATTAGTCACTTCTTTTGAAAGCCTCATCAACCCTGGTGGGTTCGTGTTTGATAAATTCTCGGCACGAATTCAGAAACCTTAGTTAGCCTTTGCCAACTGGTATCAGCTATGGCGTGAGGCAAATGTCCTTCCGTTACTCAAAAGGCCATACTGCTCGCAGTTTTTGCGGTATTTCTTTATGACTGAAACGCTCTTAAAAATAGAGGATATTCGTAAGCTACTAGTATCCCATCATAGGTGTCTTGATACTGTTCCTGGTGTATCTTGTGATCGTCTAGTTGGGGTTTTCGAAGTTATATGTAGGTAAAGATGGGAAAACGATTGACAGTGTTCATCAATTGTTTTGTTTGAATTACATGCTACGTATGTCCATCTAACGCTCATTTCGATGGGCGATGTATAGGTCGAAATTAATCTTGAGGTCAAAGTTGAGACTAAGCCAGGAAGTCATTGGTTGTTAATCTGAGTCATTTAGGTAGATTCAGACTACCTGGTTAATGATTCTTGTGAAATGGCTTGATCGTTCACAATGGCTCAGACGTATTCCTTCTGTCTTCCTCTCGATTTTAAATTCCAGTATTTCTTCATGCAGACCTTTTTACTCTGTCCTTCCTTCTGTCATTACTACTACTGTTGTAACGCTTGATTATATAATTCCCAGCTAAATCCTATTGCTTAGTATTCTCTGACCACAATACACTGGAAAAGTTCTCAAGAATCAAAACACGGTTGAACAGGAAAAGATTATATTCCAAGTAGCAAGGTTAAATGGAAAAAGAAGCCGAAGGCGAAGGCAAAAATTGACACAACGTTAGTTTCTTAATAGCATTTACATGAGAAACTTCTGGATAGAAATTCACGTGATCGACAGGGTTGGATTTAGCCAATCAGCATGCAGCTAACAATACGAGAACTTTCTACCCTGTTCTCCATGAATCGATCAGGCGCTGATTGGATAGGAAATTAGCCAATCAGCGCGTAGCAACGTAGTCATGCTTTAATTCCATCTATGTCGCACTAACACCTCCCCTTTGAGAAGATTCGTAGGATCTGGTGCTAGAGTCCAACTGCTTCCTGGGTGCCTTGCCACCCGTACTCTTACGAGCCGCCTGCTCTGTAGGAGCCATTTCTTTAAACAACCGTCGATTGGGCTGCTTCCCCATCGATAAGTTTTGTTGAGGCTCATGAGCAGCATATGGTATAGGGCATCTCAGACGTGAAACAGGTTTGACATCTGATTTCACTGGTAGGTGAGCTTTCATATTCGTACAGCGGCCAAGGCTATTCTGAAAAACAGGCTGACTTCCTCTTCCGTTTATATTGTAACCTTTCACCTGTCTTTTTTTTAAGTATCGGGGTGTCCAATGATGAACACGATACGCTGCAGACACTGTTAATGGGTAAATCCATTATTCCCAGTTTTTCTAGCATATCTAGACCAAGAAGATCAAGGTTTGGCCGTTCTGTCAGATGGCATATTCCTGTACATTTTGTTCCGTTGAAGGAAAATTCACACTGTGATTCACCAACCAGTTTTAACACACCACCTGAAGCGCTTTTAGCTGTTTTCTTAGATGGCTTCATTGGCGGTTTTCCCAGCACGTTATACGTTTCTCTAGACATTAAGGTGATATCTGATGCCGTGTCGATCTGAAAACGAGCTGATGCACCGTTGATCTGGATAGTAACATACTTTCTCCGAACGTCATAGTCTGTTTGAAAAGCAGCTACCAGAGTAAGTGATTTATACTCGGCTAATTTCACCACATGTCGAGTGCGTTTATGCTTCTTCCTGGGCTGAGACGTACGATTTGGTTGACAGTGGCCTTCTTTATGTCCACGTTTGTTGCATATCTGACATTTATGTTTTTTAAATGGACAGAATCGTACGTAATGCCAATCACCACATAACCAACAACTACATTATTTCGATCTATGCTACTGTTCGTCTTGCCATTTTGCGATGACGACTTGGGTTAACGCACATCCATACTGGGCCCTGCGTTAAGAAAGAGCGGCTAACAACTAGTGAAACATGAAATTTAACCGAGTTGATAATTCTTTGACTTTTCAAAGTTCACCAAGTACCTGATCGCATTTTTAGAATTCTACGACACACTGAAATATTTTTAGTGTAATGGGATACGTAAATTGCTTCCTGTTTTAAAGGCCACATAAACTGGCATATGATTTTGGCATCTATTCCTCAAAAGCAACACCAATAAATTTTTTGTCTCATAGTCGACATCTATTTGTTGTGATAATATCAATGATTCAAATGTTGTTTCACTTGTCATTAATATTTATCTTTTTCGGCGCTTCTTTGTACTGTATTGTACTATTCTAAAACGATACAATGTCGAGCTGTACTCTCGTTGATGAATTAATAAATATGATCTTAAGTTCTGTACATATGGACGGTTTTTAGTAGTGACCGAGTCGAGATTGACCGTGATCACCACCAAATACTTATTACAGACTCGTCACATAGAAGATAAAGAAATCCATGGTAAAGAATATATATATATATATATATATATATATATATATATATATATATATATATATATATACATATACATATACATATATATATATATATATATAAATTTTGTTTTGTAATTGCCTTAATCTTCCTGTTAACATTCATTTTTAATTTCAGCACTACCTACTGTCTTTGATTACTACTATCATCTTGATCAATGCTTTTAATTCGTTTCAAGTTGTTGAGATATGACAACCGCTGTGGATATTTTCGGGTCTTCGAATAGTGGTTGCACTGTTTCAACAAATGAAGTTTGCCAGTTTTCGCTTATTTCATGCTCACCTAATTGTAATGAGGATCATTTATGCAGTAAAAATGACTTATTCATTTCTGAATCCGTTCACGATGAATCGTTTCAAAGATCACCATCGTCTTTCAAGACACCAAGTAAAGAAGTTTCTTCTCCTGGATCATTTGAACTTCCATCAATGCCAAGTGATAAAAGTAGCTCCCGCGATTGTTCAGATGGGTTTAGTTCAGTAAACTGTTTAATCTCTTCAGATTTAACTGATACTGATCGTTCAAACAGTGCATGCTCCCTTTCTCCGTGTCCACAGTCGGTTGGACATTGTTCAAATGCTAATGATGAATGTTCTCTTTTGTATTCAGATCGAATATTAGAAAGTGCCTTTTACAAATCTGTACGTACAGAGGCTTGTATTGATAACTGCACCACTTCACATATATTACATACGAGTTTCACAGATACTCCTTTGTCACAAGACCCGTCATTCCAAACTTCATATCTCATTAACAAAAGCTCTGCATTTACGTCTTTCGGTTGCAACAACCGGGATAATTTTTCTTTATTTCAGAACAAAAACTACAACAAGTCTTATGGATCTGATTTCCAACATTTCTGTAAAACTTGTATTCACTCTGACAAAGTAGCTACGTTAAATAGCTCACCTTCAAAAGATTGTCTTTCTAGAGCTAATCATGGTTTTACTGAAGTTATTAGGTGTCCTGCCATCCTTGACAATGCAACTACTTATCCAATAAATCCTACACATTGCATAAAAACATCTAACTCTAAAGTACGCTTTGAATCTCAGCATTCCACCAGTGTTTATCAAAGTTCTCAAAATACATTCAATCTTCAGTATCGAAAAACTCCTGCCTCTGTTTCTGACGCTTCTGTGCCTTCCAATAATAGACGTGAATTTGGATATGACGGAACAGAAATCCAATTCTTAAAAGTGGAAAGTACAACTGTACCATCGGTTTGTCCACTAAAAGAAGTCGATTCGTCCATGTCTGGAATTAAACCCAATATTGTGGGAAATAAGTATTCTGATGGCGGTTTTACTTGTGACCCGGATTCGATATTTACGGGGTCAGAAAAAATATCAACGACTCGCTCCTGGGGGAAAACATCTTTGAATATTGACTCCAGTTCCAGTGATTTAGCAAATTATATTCATGTCGATCCGAAACATTTACCACCTAACTATAACCATGATTTACATAGAACTTCAGTTACTCCCATAGCTTTTCGTACAAATGATGATAAGAATACAGTGTTACTTCAAAACTCAATCAAAAATACCAGTGAGAAGATCTCATCACAAAATATAGATTTGAGGCATCGCTGGAAAATTAATGTAACAAATCCAACAACCAAAATTGATTGTTCCCCAGTGCCTGAATGTCGAAATTCTGTTGGGTCGAAATGTAAGCGAAAGGGTCCAAAAGTATCTGAGCGTAGCAGTAAGCGCCATAAATCAGTAGATGGTAAAATCCCTGAAAATGTTCCAACTAACCCTCCTGCAGATGCATCGATTCGTTCTGTTTTTTTACAAGATGTCAATCGTTTTCTGCAAGATCCTCCACTTCATCATTCATTTAACTTGTACCCACCGATTCCCTCACCGAAGCTTACTCAAAACCGTTTTTCGACAAATAACACCAATGATATAAATACACAAGGTCGAAAGTACTTTCATTTTCCTTTATCATTATGTAAACCTGAAAATGGACCTATTCCAGATGACAGTATTTTGCGATTCTTGGCTCGTCCTGATGCTGAGAAAAAAATGGATTGTTTAAGTCATGAAAATTTCCTATTAGACGCATATAAACGCACTCTGAATCGAAACTCATGTTCTACTTTCGTTTCTCCTTCTCCTGTAAATCAACTCTCTCCTCTGGACCCCTTAACGACACACCAGCCCCATAGCGTGTATACTAATGGCTGCATAACACCTCCTCTTTATCCTACACTCAGTGATAAGCCTCGATGCCCTGGGCCCGGGTTAGTTACCAATCTCAACTCTCATCAAAAATATTGTGAAGAAGTTATTTTGTTTGATCAACTTAATAGCGAAGCACATGCAATCTGCTCGTACTGTAAAATGCAAATAATGTTACCCCAGAAAACAGTCAAATGGAAGTCACAAGATAAGGAAGGCTATCTATCCTTTTGCAGTTCTAGTTGTTTAACAAGGTTAAAACGAGAGAGATCTAACTGTATGACGTCATCGGCTTCTAATGCTAGTAATTTTGACAATCCCCTAACAATTACTTCAACAATCGAATCTCAGCCACTTATCGTCTTTTTAGTGAACAGTATTCATCCTAAACGTGTGAAACAAATTTCTAAACGTCTTTCTCAAGATTTAAAGTCGAATTACAAAAGAAATACCAACGACACATTTAATCGTATGTCATTTGGAGTTATCTCTCCTGTGAAGCGATGGTGTAATATTCGCTGGCGAAGGCATAGTGATGTCACACAAGTATGCTCATTCAACGTGTCTCGAACCTCTTCCGATTTGCGCGTATCTCAGAAAAGTCTACCTACAACATTTCCATCTAATGACACGCGCGAATGCCAATTATGTCATCAAATAGGTGATGGATCGAATGATATAACCAGTAGACTGCTTAACTACAATACCGATAAATGGTTGCATCTCAACTGTATACTCTGGTGTTACGAAACATATGAAACAGTTAGTGGTTCGTTAATGGATGTACCTTGTTCTTCGAAAAAAGCCTCGGAAACTCTGTGTACTCATTGTAAAAATCTGGGAGCTGGCTTACCTTGTTTTGACTCGGATTGCCAAGCCGTATACCATCTACCATGTGCCCACCAAATCAATTGTTCTTTTCACCCTGATCGAGGGATGTATTGTCCATTACACCGCAAAAGTTCGAATATACCTCAGCTTGCCAGCTTAGCTGTCGAACGAAAAGTTTACATTTTCAGAGATGAACATTCACAAGTCGAGAAAATCATTTCAGATGAAGACCATCTTAGTTCAACCCAGAATGTTAAGGAACCAAAACTTAAATTACGTATTGGAACATTAATATTGCATCGAATAGGCCAGTTGCTACCTGAACAGTTAGCTAGTGGGGTTTTCCATACATCGAATTTTATATATCCTGTCGGCTACTGGACCTCTCGAATTTATTGGTCTTTTCGTCATGTAGGTCAGCGTTGTCGTTATGATTGCCGGATAGAAGATGCAGCACAGCCTGATGATATAGATCAGTCCCTCGTTAATCATATGTTAGTTAAGTTTACTGTGGAGGTGATAGAACCAAATGAAGAGAAAATCTTATTTGAAGATTCGACTTGTGATGGTGTTTGGCAGAAAATCATAAATCGTATAAATTTGTCGCGCAAATGTTCTTCGCTGTTTTTCCGAATTTTGCAGGATAACATACGAGGTGAGGTGTTATATGGTCTTACAGAGCCCCATATTATTCGAGCAATCGAATCCTTACCTGGTGTAGATCGTCTAAGTAATTACCTTTTCAAATTTGGTAAACTTCAGCTAATTCAGGAGATGCCTTTAGCAATAAATCCTACGGGTTCTGCTCGATCTGAACCAAAACTGCGAACTTATATCCGGCGCAAGTCAATTGAAGATATTAATATTTGTCCATATATCGCCCACAACCACGTGATTCTTGAAACGCCTGGTCATTCTTATAGTTCAGATATTGGCAGTCCCACATACCTAAATTCTCAGTCTCCAAGCACGACCAGCAAATCTCAACAGTATCGTCGACTACGTTGGGATTGGAAAACAAATGTCGTTTTAGCACGATCACGAATACAAGGCTTAGGGTTGTATGCTGCTCGTGATATAAGTAAGAGTACATTCATTATTGAGTATTTGGGAGAGGTCATTCGTAACGAAGTAGCTAACCGTAGAGAACGTTTATATGAGTCTCAAAATCGAGGGATATACATGTTCCGAGTCGATGATGATTGGATTGTCGACGCGACAATGTCTGGTGGTTTAGCTCGTTATATTAACCATTCTTGTGATCCTAACTGTACTGCAGAGATACTCCACTGTGATAATTCTAACCATATAGTGATAATTGCTAATAAAAATATCGAGAAAGGTGATGAACTGACATATGACTACAAATTTGATCTAGAAGAAGATCGTTGGGATCGGATTCCATGTCTTTGTGGTTCAGTCAATTGTCGAAAATGGATGAACTGATAGTTGTTCGCTTTCATTTCACGTATTTCGTACATATGTTCTAAGGTTGTGCTGTTGATGATCCCGTTTTCACATCATTTTTGTAAATTATCAAACTGCGCCCATATTTCTTCTGTTACACAAAATACTTCCTGTACTTTTTTAGACATTCATTTCTTGTACTTTAAAAATCAAACTTTCAGATTTTTTGAGTTGATTTTGGTTTTCTTCAGCGTAGTTCTTGTCCTCTATAAGTATGTTTGCATTTTATTTTTGCCCTATGTGATATTATTTCCGACCTACAATCACCAAATTCATTCAGTTTAATCAAATTTCAGATTTTCGTAATGTATATATTGATCCCTTGAGCTTGTGTATAAAACATTTTAGTGGCTGTGGGTTTTGTTCATTTGAACTACTGTGAATAATTTCTGTATTATATTTCCAAACGTTATAATAAAGTCGTTTATAAATTCTTAATTCTTGAATGGTTTTTTCAAGTTTGTGACTGTCTGATTATGTGATGATTGGTTTTTATTTTGATGTGTTATCCAACTTTTGTGACAGTCAAAATCAGATTCCATCTATGTTCTCAAAATATTAAGTTTGGTTTTATTTTTAATATCATATATAGTTCTCCAAGTGTGACATAATTAGTAATTACATCAATATCCTGAAATTCGATCTAGTTAGTGTCTGCCGAAAATATACCATATTGCAGCACTTATTGGTCTTTCCCAATATTGTCGTAATTGACCGCTACGTAAGAGTTCCGATCACTGGTCATGTTATAAAACTAGAAGAGTTTAGTAATAACTTTTTAATCCCTTCAGTTGGAGTTCAACAATTTGGTTTCTCTCGAATATATTGCATACTTACTTTGTATTCAAGGTTAATGACTAACATGACTTGTAACGTACTACAGCATAACCATGTTAAATATGACCGTAACGACCTGAATAATCTTGAATATCTGGACTACAGTATGGTTTTTCTCATCACATTCTGATGTCACATTGATCCCCTTTGCCTTATGTGATAACCATATTATCTATTCAGATAATATCGATCAGAATTCCAGACAAACTGTTTTAGATCTTGTTCATTAGGTTTATTTTTGAGAAAACATTTGTTATGGATGCAATATTGAGTTCAAAATTCATTCTTACTTTTATTTCCCTTGCTCTTTAGATACTCATTCCAGTGAATTCATCAATGTTGTTGTTTCATTTAGTTCACAGACTAGTTTGTGAAAATGTTAATGAAGTTTAAATAAACTAGGACTGTGTGAGTGGTCTAACCATGTAAGGTAATTACTAAAAGTCTAATTAGTACTTCAGAGTACGAACGTTGAATACTCAGATTCCTGGACTGCTTCATAATGTATCTGGTGCTCATGAATGAGCGTTTTTTAAAAAATCAACTGCATTATTTATGGATACTCCAGCCTTAGGTTCTTGTGTAGCTGATTGAAATTTTGCTTCGCTGAACACTTGATCAGCAATTTGTTTAACAGAACGTTTTATTAAGTTCATAGCAACTTAGTATAAAAAAGCTTTGATTACTTATTTGATTCATTTTATAAGATTCTTGTTTCATATATTCTATAGTCGTGTATTTACATTTCTACTTTCCCCATTGTTCTTCCACTTTTCTATTTAGACGAGTGACAAACTGAGTCTATGCATTCGCACTAAGTCATACGTTGTGTATTTTGATTGACTGGTCATCTATGTAAGCAATCACCTCGCGTGCGTAAAGCATGATTCTTTCCCAGGCTGTGCAAATAAGCACTATAAATAATTGATTCTGCTTGTCGAAGCTGTTATCTCAACATCATAAGTTCTGGTAAAATAAGGAATTCAACGAAAGCGTTTGAAAAAGCTATCATTAGATTTTAAACAATTATCAAATTATTTATGTTTCATGCTACTAGTTCGTTATCACAGATATATGTTGTCACTGCTTCAGTTATCTCTTCCCCTATATATATATATATTTTTGAGATATCCTCAAGTATGTGAATTCACAACTAAATCGATTACAATTTGATATGCCTTCGTCTTGGACAACTGGTTAACTTTTGCTGGTGTTATTAGGATAACGGACTGTAAGGTTTTTGATCACAGATTACATTTACTTACTTTAGCTTTACAAAGTAATCGTTTCAACTTCTTCATCAGCTATTTCCTGTTTATATTCCGTTTTTGTCATCTCTTTAGTAAATTATCAGTCTTGCTGAAACCTACGAACGTGTTTTAGTTTGATGTCTATGACCATATATCTAAGGTGTTATGTAAAGGCAACTACTTGTATTGATTTGCAATATTAGGTCTAATTCTTAGTCTTAAAATTAATATATCTGTATGTAATTCTTATTGTATTTTTGAATCACAAGTATAAATCATAATCGTTTTGTATACTTTTTTAGGCAATCATATCTAGGCATTCTAGGCTTTCTGTAAATTTACTGTAAAGAATAACAAATAGAGAATCATGAGTATCCACTGTTTATTCGTTATTGACAGCATACGATTGTTAGCAATGTCCTCAAATCAAACGGTCACATACAGAAACAGTTAGTCTTCAGCTAGTGAAACGTTGTTAGGATATTCATCAAATATCATAAAGAAATTATTTTGTTGGTCAATATTTAAGGTCGTCCTAAACTATCAAGTTCACATACTTTAAAATGTTCTTTCCTATTGGTTAGTATTAATGGTCAACCTAACCGTATCAATATGCATTGACTGTGAAGTTTAATGCTCCTCTTCTTCTGTACAAAACCTCATTTTCTCGGTCCTTGTAGAATACACTTTCTACGCTATATCAATACTTTTTGATATCATTATTGGGGGCTTAGGACACTCGGATTAGAGTAGCCTTTGGTGTCACTGGATCATTTTCTTAGCTCTGGTTTACCGACTAATGTGAACTCGTAATTGTTCAAGCATAACAAATGTAAAGCACAATTTTGCGAAAAATTCATATTTTTAGTTGGTGAAATTTATTTCTGTTTGGATTCAACTAGTTATATTGATTCACTTGGTCTTTCAGTCAATGATTAAGTTTATCATGTCCCTCATATGAAAGGATGAAAAAACGTTATAACAGCATCTAACTTTCATAGCAATTCAGACTCCATTTAAGATAAAAACAATATTTATTAATATAGTGCAGATTATGTTTTTGTCACTGTTAAGATCTATGAACTATTGTTTTTCAAACTTGGTCATGTTTCTTTACATTGCATAGTTTTGAATTCATACAATTATGTAATATTAGGGTGGCTTTTTTGTATGTGACTCTGTAGTTAATTATATATTTCTGAAGAGAGCAAGAAAAGTATTTGAACCGAATAACATTAATTTATTTTATTTCTTTAGGTATCCATCAGTAGCGTACAATCTATAATATCGTATTCCGTTATACATTATAGGTGATAAGATGCCAGATTTGAGCAGCAATAAGAGTTCAACAAAAACTTTGATACCTGCAAAGAAAGCCGTTCTGAAAAGTGGGGACAAGGTTAGTCACTCGTCAAGTTCCAGGCAACACGACCGAAAATATTCCCATTCTAAGATTACTCGAAGTCCACCTAGGCGACGTGCTAGACGAAGTCATACTTCATCATCCAGTTCCTCAGATTCCAATTCATCATCATCTGATTCTGACTCGAATAACTCTTCGGCATCTGACTCTTCAAACTCGTCAAAAGGTTCCAAAAAATCTAATCTTGTCCAAGGTTTGTGTGTATTTGCATTTGTTTTGTGCATATTGTTAACAAACTCAATGTCAGAATTTATGATCGTTTCTTGAATTATGGAAAATATTTATCCTATTTTATCAAGTTTTCATAGTTGGTTTGTCTGTAAACGAACTATAGCATAGTTTCTTTTTGTTTTTCATCAAATATTTTGACTGCATCCTGTAGTTAAATGAGATTAGGTGACGACAACTAAACAAAATAAACGTTTATCCATAAATAAATTAGTAATGTATTCAACAAATTAAAGATGAAATGTTTTGCATCGCCATACTCAAAGAAGAAATAGAATAAATGTACTATATAAACAATTCGAATAGATTCGATTGTTAATGGATTTTGATAAAAACTCGAGCACCAATTCATCTGCGTGGGATTCAGTTCCAATGCTTTAATTGTGAAGTCAGTCAGTCAGATGCAACGTAGAACTTTGTACGTAAGTACATCAGTTCATGTTGGCATACCTTATCAGCACAGAGATTTAATTGTCAATTCAAATCCAATAGTAGAAGAGGTAGTAAAGGTATTAGAAGTAGTCGGAGAGGTTAGGATTAGAAGATATTATTCAAGTATAATTCGGTGAGAAAAGTTTAGAAAGTCAAAACTAGAGGGGTTGAAGAATCCAGAAGATTAGGATTTGAGAGAACACAAAGAAAAAAATGCACCAGCGCCATTGCAAATGGTTTTGAGCTATGTCATTGAAGGTCTCTAACCATTGGTGACTCTCCTCTCGCAGACCCCAACCAGGTAGTCGACAACTACCGACATGGCTAAGTCCACTAGTCAATGACTTCATGGATTTGTGCCATGTTTTGGTTTGGCCGCCCCTAATTTTCTTCCAACCTACTCCTACACCACAAAACATAGCTCGTCGAGGAAGTCGGTGGTTAGGCATACGCAGCACATGTCCCAACCACCTCAAATGATGAAGTTTCACCACTTCATCTATTGATCTGACATTCTTACCTAGCGTTGCTCACTCGGGTGTCCCAGGATATACGAGCAATGCTTCGAAGACACCTATGATCGAAAACCAACAACCGACGAGTATTTTCTACTTTCACTGGCCATGTTTCACAGCCATAAAGTAAGACGGAGTGAACTGCTGCACAGTATACTCGTCCTTTAGTCAGCAAACGGATATCTCGCCTACGCCATAAGTGACGCAGGTTGGCAAAAGCCAATCGAGCCTTCTGTATCCGAGCTGAGATTTCGTCAGTCACCAGGCTGTCAGCACTGATGAGACTCCCAAGATAAGTGAAGTGGTCTACACGCTCGACTACTTCACTCTCTATCACTAGTTCAGGTGCCGATGCAACCCAGTCTTGAAGCAACATTTTGCATTTCGAGGGTGAGAACCGCATCCCGGACATGCTTGCATTGTTGCCTATGGTAGTAAGAAGACTGCATTTTGTCAGCGTCTTCACCAAGTAGGAGTATGTCATCGGAATATTCTAAGTCAATAAGCGAGCCACCTGGTAGGTCAACCCCTGAAAAATCCGATGAGCTTAATGTCAACTCTAAGAGGATGTCTACGACAAAGTTAAACAAGAATGGGCACAGTGGACATTCCTGACGGACACCACTTGAAGTGAGGAATTCCGGTGACAGTTCGCCATAAGCTCTCACTCGACCAGTGGTGTTCGAGTAGAGAGCTTGTATAAGGTTAATGTACTTCTGTGGTACACCTTTCAATGACAGACACTGCCACAGAACCTCACGATCCACTGAGTCGAATGCCGCCCTTAGGTCCAGAAAAACAACTATTGCAGGACGTCTAAATGTGTGTCTGTGTTCCAGGACCTGTCGTAGTGTGAAAATGTGGTCTATACAACCACGTGCAGGTCGAAAACCAGCCGGGTTTTCTCGAGTTTGCTCTTCACGAGCTTTCGTTAAGCGTCGCAGTATTATTGAGGCCAGTATTTTAGATACTATATTAGTTAGACTTATTCCTCTGTGATTGTCACAAGAAGACTTCTGTCCTTTCTTATAGATTGGGACAATCAGTGATTGAGACCAGTCGGATGGGATTACACCCAGTTGCCAGATTCTACCTAAGATCTCAGTCAACCTAGCTGCTAAAACTGTACCACCGTACTTAAATATCTCACGGGTCAGTCTATCATTACCTGCAGCTCGTCCTCGCTTCAGATTTCCTAACGCTTTCTCAACTCCGTAATGCCTATGGGGACTTACGTGGACTTGCCATTCAGGATGACTGGAGATCGTGGGTAACCAAGCAGTGGCTCAAGGCCAGTTGAACTGATCCCTAAAGTGTTCTGCCCATCGATCCAGTCTCCTGGATTGAGAATGGATAATAACACCATCCTTTTCCGAAATAGTCTCACTCACACTTGGGTTCCTAATACCGGTTTCCTTAATGAGTCTAAATAGTTGCCTATCGCCGCTGCCTTTTCCATCTCTCTCTCTTTCTCCACCCATCGTTGTTCTCGATCATTGCGTAGGCTTTTTGTCAGCCTCCGTCTAAGCTGGCTCCGCTCCTCATCGTACTCAGAGCCAGGCGGGATGAGTTTTCGAGCATCCATCGGTTCGGTAGATGCTATTGAGATCCACGGCTTCATCCTAGCCTTATGGTTTACCTTACTAGAAGATATCACTGCTGTTTCCACAGCCTTTTTGATATCATTCCAACCTGCTTCTTTATGGGAATCGCCTACATGGTTGCTTGACACTGTTTCTAGTTGCTCCTGAAATATTTTCTTAGTTCGATTATTATTAAGTAAGTCCCTAAGAGGCTTCCTTACGGTGCCTTTCCTACGTCCTGTAAGCCTCAAACAGATACGAGCTCTCACTAGAGCATTATCTGAATCTAAACATGTGACCCACAACGAGCGACAGTCCTCTATCGAACCCCTCCTTCGGTGGCTGATGGCGATGTGATCTAGTTGGGTCCAGCGTTGAGACGACTTTGGAGGTCGCCAGGTCAACAGATGCTTTTCCTTATGCCTAAAGTTATTGTTTGCTAAGAATAGGCGGTTGTCTGAGCATACTTGCAACAGACGGTCGCCATTGTCTGTTCTCTGAGCCGCGACACCATAACATCCACCTATGTGTCTTTCATTTTCACCTAGTCTACCTACTTGAGCAATAAAGTCACCAGTCATTATTACTACGTCAGAGCGCCTAGCTTTTTGGAGGAGGTCCGAAAGCTTTCTGTAAAACTCATCTTTAACCTCGTCTGAACTGGAGTCAGTGGGGGCATAGGCAGATATGACGAAGAGGCAACGGCGAATGTCCCTATCCTTCCGAGTCCTTACTGTCCAGTTTAGTCGGACAGACTACTACTATCTACAGGGATCCAGTCTAGTAGAGATTGTTCAGCTCTACGACTCAATGCTATGACTACGCCAGCAAGACCCCTGGAAGCAGCATCAGGGCTACCGGATACACGAAGAGTAAATCGAGCTGCTTCTTTATTTTGACAAGGTGAAATCAGATTAATAATTTTACTAGGATCCTGTATGCGCGTTTCCGAGACACAGCACACATCGATGGCACGAGATTCTGAAGTCCTAGCTAATGATGCCTGTTGCCCTATTTGACACAATGTCCGTACAATAAAAGCTCCAACATGTAGTCTAGAACGTGGTTTCAAGAGACCAGGAACGACGTTTCGTGAACTCGCTTGGTCTGCGTTAGCAGTGCAGTGAGAAAAGGGAGTGTGAGTAGAGTTAGTCGTGGAGGTAAGAGAGATATTAGGGAGTGTAGGAAGGATTTGATTTTGACCAATTTGTTCTCGTGTGCTGTTACGTGTAAGAGGGCGGTTGTCACTTCTGGGCTGCCCACACCGTGTAAGGTTTCTTGAGGGACCGGAAAAGGAAGATAGATTTGTGTTGGTCTTAAAGACTTGGGTGCGTGACCTTAGAGCCCAAGGAACAACTGCTTGAGGCCGTTCATGCGCAGCCTTTTTACGAAAGGTTTTTTTGAGGATTAGCTCCGCTCTTAAAAGCCCTGAGTGGGCACCCTTACCCAAGGAGACGGAAATCCGTGAGTTATGGGAGGTGTGACATTTTCAGGGCCGACCTTTTCTAACCCTTCCTTCTTTGTGAGAAGGCAGCATCGCTGCAGATGCTGGTTGTCCGAGGGAAACACCTTACTGCTGTCACACCCTTCTACAGTCAGCAGTACGACTTCGTCCTCAGACCTTGGGTAGCTGCTGTTAGTCTCATCGTTCTCCAATCGACCTGCCTGACGTGGTAGAACTTTCAGGAACATATGTTCCAGCCAGTATAGCTCGGTTGGGTCATCTCGATAGGCAAGCCCGACCACCACGTCAAGGTAGCCTCTACGGTCGGGCTTTAATTGTGAAAGGTTACTATTTCTTGAAATTTTTACATCATTTATTAAATTTAGCACATTGAGTCAACACGTTTATTTTAATTTCTTTAATTATCATGGTTCAGCACATAGTTAACATAATGAGTTGTATTTACGTTCAATTCTTTATTACTGCAAATAATTTTTCTCCATTGTCTATTTTTGATTGTTTTTTTATACATGCGAATAACTGAATTGCTCTACAAAACTATACTATTTTCTTGTTCGCAGCACGTCTGCTAAATATGCGTTTCGTATGGAGATCGATATTTTTACACAAACCAATGATTGTAATTTGATTGATATTCAACTTCTGATGTCTCAAGTCCCATTTAATTTTACTGTACATTATACACTGAAATTTAGTATAGCAGTATTTGATTATTCCCCTTGCGATAATTAAAGTAACAGAATTTGTGATCTGTTGCTCATTTAAATGATTTTTTCGCACACATAAGGCTACTTGTCCAATATTTCGTTCATTTAAGCTTATTAGTATAAATTCTGAACATAATTTTCCGCAGGACTAAATGTCTAAATAACTATTTCTTTCATCATTAGCCTCAGATACAAAAAGTAGCAATGACCGTCCTCATCCATCCAGTCATTCAAGTTCTGTGCATTCTAAAGTTAACGACAAAACACTTCAGACGTCGCATAAATCATCCGAACCTACTGACTCAAAGAAAAAAGTAGCCAGTGCATTAACCTCTAAGGATGAATTCACTAAATCTGAAGGTAATCCAAAATCAAGTTCAACGGATCACTTAGCAAAAGTTCCAGACACTTCAGGTGTTACTGGTTCGACACTTTCGTCTTCAGTTCAGGAGTCTGATGATAAAGTTGGAGAGGCATCAAAAGGCAAAAATCGGGATAAAACATCACATAATATTGTAGCAAAACCAAACAAAGAAAACAATGTAGAAAAATCCCTTCCTAATAACAATGCCTCATCCGAAAGTCGATTTACTCGTGTGCTTATTGAGAAGCTAACCAAAAATATAACGAAGGTAAGAATCGATGTTTTAATTTCCTATTCTGTAATAGATTAGTCTTTAGGTTTTTAAAATCCTGTTGCATCCTGATAATCTAAGCCACTTTGCTCAACTATAGACATTTTGTAAACTTTTAAAACTACATACTTTTTTTGACATCTAATTACTATCATCTACGTATATCTGATTTACCTAAGAATATATATCACCGTTTCTTGTAAAAATCTAGTAACAGTCACATTTAGTATACTACTTCGTCAAGCGATGTTTTATAATGTAGGAGTAGGTTGGAAGAAAGCTAGGGGCTGCCAGACCAAAACATGTCACAAATCCATGAAGTCACTGACAACTGGACTGAGCCATATTGTTCGGTGTGGACTACCTGGTTGGGGTTCGCGAGATTATAGTAATCAATACTTAGAGACTTTGAACAACATGGCTGAAAACCGTTTGCGATGGCGCAGATGGATGCATTCTTTGTGTTCTTTCAGATCCTAATCTTCTGAATTCCTACTGAATTTCTGTCTGTTTTGCGTTTCTTTCACTGGGATATACTTCTCGAATCATATCTTCGATCCCTAATCTCTTTGATTACCGTTAATACTTCCTCTACCTCTACTTCTTTGGGATTAAAATCGACAATTCGTTCTTAGTGTAATAGTGTAGTACGGCAACTTGAACTGATTTAAGTACGCACGAAGTTCAATGTTGTAGTTGACTGACTGCTTCGTTAGCGTTATTGTTTCGTCAAAATAAAAAGTAGATCGATTAAAAATAATACCCTGAACGTAGTGGATATACTTTGGAGGTCGGCTTATATAAATGTGCCTTTCTGTTTTGTCTTTTCAACTTTTTCTCTAGAGTTACTTATTTCTTTACTTCACATTTTAGGCTCATATTCAGGAAATATTCTCCGTGTGGGGAGAAATCCATTCGGTCGATCTTCCACCTGACCGTATTCACCCAGAATTTAATAGGGGCTATGGTTATGTTGAGTATGTGGATTCCAAATCAGCCAGTGATGCGGTTAATTTCATGAATGGAGGACAAATTGATGGACAAGAGGTTAGAGTTTCTGAAGTTCATTCTCGTGCGGCACACCTAAGTGATCGTGCAGGCCGTTCAGATGAACGAGCAGGCTACAGGTAAGTAACATTGATCAGTTTGCATTACTCGATAAGTAGAATTTCCGCAAATATTTCTTTTACTTATTCCACATTCAGTAGCACCGAGAAATACAAAATTTAATTTGTATATTTCTTTGATAATCGTGTTCAAAAACACAGAATTCTTTAAGAAAATGCGTGCGAAGTTTTTGTACAGTATATATATTCATCGAAACTACGATAGTAATAAGATATTCACATGTAACATCATAGTACGGTTTGTTTCCATCCTTACTTAAAGTTGTAATTAACTGATTGCCTTATGAACAAAATATTGAAAAAAATCAATCATACAAGGTAATGGATGTGATGAATCGCATTTAGCTGTTGTCTTTATCATATCTCTTATATTGATTCTTCTGTAAGTCCTTGTTTGATGCTTTTTCAGGAAAAAGGGCCATGATTCATCGAAGCATGATCGTGAAAGGTCACATCATCGCGAGGAACATACTTCAAAAACATATAATGATTCCACAGAACATAATCGTGTAAAAGAAGATTCTGGTAAAAGACATACTTCTCACAATCATTTTCGAACTCATGATAGGCAAGACCATTCTCGAGTTAGAGAACGCAACAGAGATCGTGAACGTGAAAGGCCACGTGGCGGTCGTCTAGATGATGATCTCAAGAGAAACCGAAGAGGAAGCAGTGGCAGTCCATTTGCAAGTCATTCAACTAATCGACCTCGTTCTCCTCTTACAGGATCACGTTACCGCAGACCTAGTAAGTTATTTATTATTCTTGTTGAAATGATCTGTACCATATCCAATTACGTAATCTATTGTCAAACACCAAATCTTTAAACATTGAATAATTTCATTTATTGGCGTTAAGAGAGGCGGTCTTATTAACCTTTTAATTTAATATAGTTTATTTGTCGAATTTTATCTTTTCATGGTCACATTTTAATTAGGCAAATGATTTCCATATTTTATTTATTTTTCTTATTTTGAAGATTAGTTTGCTCTTTCATCCTTTAATGCATTCCTTAATTATTATAGGTCCTCCAAGCTCTCGACCTGGCCCTAAACGCCCTCGGTCCCATAGTCCTAAAGGGAAACTACAACCAACCTCTGGCCGAAGCGATAAAAAGCCTGGCGATATTAACCGTCGTGATAAGAAAGCATCTTCACGTTCATCATCTTCGTCTTCCTCCAATTCGGGATCATCATCTTCTTCTTCATCAAGTTCAAATTCTGGTTCTAGTTCATCCTCTAGTTCAAGTTCTTCTCGCTCACATTCTTGACAGATTAACCGTTTTTTTCATTTCGCCATACATACATATGATGAAATGAGCATGCTTTTGTAATGCCTGCATTTCGTTGTTTGCACATAACTGTCAAGTGTATCTTAATATTTTTATTCTTGTTGAAATTACACTTGTTTTGAATTTATTTTTACTGCTTCAAATTATTCTTTAGTGTATAATGATAAAGCAAAAAGTTTGATGGTAGCAAAATCTCTAATGGCAAAGACCTTATTATTATATAATTAGCTGAACACATCTAGTGTTAAGAACGGTGAAACTTAACCAAGTAATTGCTATACCTGTCTATCTTATCATTGAAACAACAAACAAAATACTGGAAGGTTGGAATATGGCCGATTCTTCCTAATGAATTTATATGACAACATATCTGTAACATTCTATGTTTTCAGACGAAAACCAACTATTGCTACTTCGTCTAGAAACGTGTAATTAAGTTAACGTTTGGTTAGTGGTACTAAGTGTAAAATTACACCAAAATAACACAACTCAGTGTTCTATTTGGTCAATAGTTTCCAGTTTGGTTAGTTCAGTCTTTCCTCTAGTGTCATCTTGTAGAAGTCTATCATCTCTGTAAGTATTTTCAGTGGGTCACAAATTGCGGCGAAGTGTATGGATAACTATCAACGTCAAGCTGTTTACTACGGCTACCAATATCCGCCATCTTAATCCACTGTTGCTACATTTGTGTTCGTAACGGGAATTTTCCAAGAATCGACTTTATATTGCACATTTTCTTGTGAACTAGACAATAATTGAAACTCCAATTTTATTGATCGAAACAAACGATCATGTGTAGCTTTTTCAGTCACGATTAATTTAATTTGTCGTTTTATGATAGTCGCTGGTAAGATAATGTAGTATCAAATTCATGTATGTGTGTGTAGAAATTTTTCACGAAAGACTAATAAGTTGATTTCAGAATCACGATACCTAGAAGACGGTGGTAGTGTGAAGTTATCGCGAGTTTAAATCCAAGGTTATTTTCTCCAACCTCAGATTGTTCACGTAATTCTCATTTATCAACTACTTGAAAATATTGTCACAAGATAGCATTTACCTAGATGCAGCTTCTTGAAATTATAAAGAACTATGATAGATTTCCGTATAATTTAATCGTTTGGTGTTTAAAAAAGTATGCATAATTTCTTTCTTTGTCATGTGTTATGTGAACAGGACACAAAACCCAAGTGACGATTGAATTTTATCATATACCTACTGATCTACTCAGTAAGCCAATTATGTAAACTTTCCATCATAATGACAAACATTTGTACACTATTGTCCCACTAAATCAAAACATTACTACGTAATCATTCAATTGAATTCTACGTTCGTATTCACATTTGTTTAAATAATATGTGTCTATTGAAGAGATCGCATCATAAAGTTGTCCGATATTTTTAGAGAGGTAGCACATAGCGTAGCATCAGGACAAAGTAGATTGGAGAATGCTGGTCGGCGGCTTATGCTCGATTGAGTGCTATAGGTGTAAGTAACAAAGCTATCACTAGCCTAATAAAGACACGTCGTTTCGAAGGAGACGTCCAAATAATGTATGTAACCAGGTTACATTAGGAACTTAAACGCTGCTGAGACGTAGGCGACCCACTAATTCCAATTCGGATTCTGCGTCCTACCTTCCCTTTCTTGCCCTCGACTCTCTCAAGTGTGTTTTGGTTACTCCTAAGATTAATTTCGTACTTTCTAAACCTTGTTCGCCCATCATTACTACGATTCTCCATGATTATTCAGTTATTAAAATGACTACCTGGTTGGGGTCCGCGAGATGATAATAATCGATGGTTAGAGACTTTGGGTGACATAGCTCAAAATCGTTCGCAATGGCGCCGGTGCATTTATTCTTTGTGTTCTCTCAAATCCTAATCTTCTGGATTCGTTAACCCCTCTAGTTTTGACTTTCTAAACTTTTCTCACTGAATCATACTTCTTGAATAATATCTTCTAATCCTAACCTCTCCGACTACTTTTAATACCTTTACTACCTCTTCTACTACTGGATTTGAATTGACAATTACATCTCTGTGCTGATGTGGTATGGCAACATGAACTGATGTACTTACGTACAAAGTTCTACGTTGCATCTGACTGACTATTAACATGACTTTAGCATTTCCTAATTGTTTATATCTGGAGTTATCGCTCGTATTTATGACTCAAGCCCCTTATTCTGCACTAGCCCTTTGATCAATACGCACAACTCTTTTGGTATGATTGAAATCTCGGATAACTTTGTAATTCAATCTCTCCTATCTTCTTATAGCCTCACATATTTGTCAAACAGCTCTGTATACAAACGTACAGCGTAAGTACATGATCCCGTTGATAAGTAAATTTTCTTTGTTGAAATCTCGTTATTTTTATTCAATGACGCAATCGGTTACCCTAATTATCTGAGGACTTGCAAGAATCTTGTGATAGGAACTCAATGGGTTTCTTCGACTTTCTGTCAACCTTGCAGTAGCGAATGTCAGAATAACTTTTTTTAAAAGCTTTTTAGACAAACGCGAGTATCCGTAACCTTTCTCAAAACATTACTTCAGAACCACGTCCATCCGAATCATCGTTCTTTGAAACGCCTTACATTGAACTATATCGATGGGATCAAGTTAATTCCGGAAATGCGACGAGATATTTCATTACGAACATATATTATATAATTTATCAAAGAATCAACTTTACAGATTCAAGAATCACATTGATAGAGTTGTTAGAAATCGAACCGAAGACACTGATGTGAAACTAATAAACAGTTTAAAATCACACTTTTCCGGAAACCAAAGAAATATGTATTCAGTTGCTCTAGTAGAACGGCATCGACTATTCAACCACAAGCCTTATCATTTGGTTCTAAATTTTGTTTCTAAACTATCCTAACTAGAAACCCATGAACGATCAGTATATTACCAACTGTGACTTCTATGAGCATCTCAAAACATTACCTAGAAGTACTACTTCTATGTACTTGTAATGTGCAATTCAGAGTTAATGATGAGAGAATTCAGCGAACCATTCTTATGTACCATATGATTTTTTCTTCAAATTGATTTTGTTACCTCAATAACTTACACAGAATCAGTGAAGAATATTAGACACAAATCAAGTCTATTGAAAATTAAAATCAGGATTTTTAGTACAAATATTTACTAATAGTACCAGTGCGAAATTATCACGTTTACAAAGTTAAATAAGACTATGAACCATATACATGAAATAACACTTATCATACAATAAATTATAAAATACAAAACATTTTACAAATTATTGTCCTGAGAAACAGAAAACAAGTAAAAGAGAAAACAGTTGAACAAGATTCGGTGAACTCAGTTATACACTTTGCTTAAGGCCATAAATCAGCTTCTTTCATTTTGTTGATGAAATAACGTTCTAAAGTAGTAGCACTTCTATATAAATAAGAATCTTGTTGATTATAAGTACGACAATTATGAAACATTCGCATCATATCAGCAATAAACAAGGATTTGGTAACATAATAATTCGATTTTAAACGTTCCCACATTGTGCCTAAATCTGTAGGTAAAAATAGAAGTAGAAAATACTTCTTTTCAAGTAGTTGATATATTTTTATTATAAGTGGAAAATCACCAGTTGTTAATTGCTCAGTAATTTTATTTGTCAGAACTATTTTTAACTCAGTGATAAAAAAAACCATATGACAATTAAAAGTATACAGAAAGAATCATGAAAACTAGGTGTTTGGGAATGTTTATTAAGCAACGAGTTTGTAAAGTACAAGTGTTAAATATTATTGATACTATTTCCATACCTAGGTCAGTCAGATGCAACGTAGAACTTTGTACATCAGTTCATGTTGCCATACCAGATTAGCACGGAGATGTAATTGTCAATTATAATCCAATAGTAGTAGAGGTAGTAAAGGTATTAGAAGTATTCGGATTAGAAGATATTATTCAAGAAGTATGATTCAGTGAGATAAATCTAGAGGTGTTGAAGAATCTAGAAGATTAGGATTTGAGAGAACTCAAAGAATAAATACACCGGCGCCATTGCAAACGAATTTGAGCCATGTCATTCAGGGTCTCTAACCATCGATTATTATCATCTCGCGGACCCCAACCAGGTAGTCGACAACTACCGACATGATTCAGTTCACTTGTCAATGACTTTGTGGATTTGTGCCATGTTTTGGTCTGGTCACCCCTAACTTTTCCAACCTACTACACTACAAAACGAAGCTCGTCGAGGCAGTCGGTGGTTAGGCATACGCAGCACATGTCCCAACCACCTCAACTGATGAAGTTTCATTACTTCATCTATTGATCTGCCATTCTTACCTAAAGCCAAAAACGGTGGAGCAGAGTTTGTAGCTAGCCTACTAGGTAAAAGGTGAGCGTTTTAATTAATAAGCAACTAATTATTTAATGAGTTTGTACAAAACATAAAGGATCAAATCCAAACAGTTGATTGTAAATATGAACTATTAAGATTTGACTAAGATCTTTCTGAGAAAGATAAGATTTCCCCAAAGATGAATAGTGATCAGTTGTAATCTATAGTAAGACTAAAAGAATATTACAGAGTATTTAATCTTATACTGTCAACTAGTAATAGTAACTGCATTCGGTTTATGGTAATATCTTCAATAGCAACACAAGAAAACCCTTATTCTCCATTGTACAGGGATAATGTTCTCTAGGCTTGCTAATTCAACACCTAGTAGCGAAATTTTCATCAGATTATCATTATGAATCAATATGATGATCGAAACACAAGTGATAACAATGAAAAAGTTAAAACCTTAACTGTTATTTTTTTCAAGTCTAGTAACAAGAAAAGTAGTATTATATGTACTGGTTCTTGCATGTGATTCAAGATTACAGATGTAACAACAATTATGCACATAAGGTAGATATACATGCACAGTTAATTTTTATTACAAATCTAACAAATTAGATGCACAAATAGACAGTTGTTTAGACCGTGTGCTCAAATCTAGTCAGTTAAATATTAATAATGAGGAGAAAGATTTTTAATTTTAAACGTCTACAAAATACGTAACACTTTTAACATGATATATATACTGTAAACTTTTACTAACTTAATAGGTTTTTTTTCATTAAAATAACAGATCTGATTTAGTTTACAATTTGAATCAAGTTAAGAATTTATTCTCTTTAAAATGTTTGATAATGCAAAAATCATAATTCACTCTTGAATTATGTGAATACATTATAGTTCATGGGTTCTCATGAAAATGCTTACTCTCTTTACAGGATCATCTACATAGCATGCAGTTACATAATCTAAGCGTAAAACTATGAATATTTGGACGTTCAGTGAGTTTGCCTAAGCATCACTTGATAAAATTTAAAATGAGAAGAAAAAAATTCTCGCTAAGCACTAGGAATATTTTATGTTACGTATTATTAATAGTTTCTTCATAAACATGATGACATAAAACAACTGAAATTACCTATTGGGAAAACAATGATATCATAATAATCCGGAGCTTCATCTAATGTGACAGGTTTTTGAAATGGACCAGCCAACACATGACTACGTAATGCATTTAGGATAGGACGAATTTTTTCTGCTAACTGTTTAGCTTCATTGATCCAAACAGGTTCCAGTGAATCTGACCTAAATAAATTATAATTAGAAATTAGTTGACTGAAAATGGTACGGTTTAAATGAAACTTGTCTAGTTTAGATTTTTTTAGAGAGATAAAAAATTGGTCAGAAGTGGGCAAGATATAACTGAACTAATTGACTTAGAAATATATGTATTCACTTTTTAGAAAACCTCTTAAACTTGATTGGGTTTCTCCTTGAGCTAGATGTTGTAATTGTGGAAACTTCGTCGTTAGTTCTCTTCTGTCGGTGGCTTTAAGCCTTTTTATTATACGAGTGAAAAATAACTAAGTTCATCAAGAAAAATTAAGTGTCTTGACAAGTTATGTTGTCTGAAGTTATAACGTAATGTAGCGATTTAAAATTAGCTCATTCTGAATCCCAACAAACTCTATAAGATTGGAAAGACCATAGGTTCAGCTAACTGATTATATTATGAAGTTAACTTCACTTAGTTATCGTTAGTAGAAGTTTGAGTAGAAACGTTTAGTCATATCTATGGCTGAAAAATGATAAATACATTCAGTACGATTGAAGAGGCCCATAGAGGAACAAGTTTAAACTTAAATTTTTGTTCTGTAATCTTTTTTTTATTGAAATTCACCATTAGTTGTAGTTTTATGGCCTTAATTTCGTTGATTTTATTTTGTTGTTCTGAAATAGAGTGTGACAATGTAAATCACTACAAAATTATGTAACCTTCAAAGTCGTTTCTGTTTAACAGTCGGGAAATATTTTAACTTTTAGCAATTGAATTCTCATTAATGAGAAACTGTGAAATCACACCACTCTTGTCTCTGATAATCCTGCCAACTAATTGTTATCTGAGAAATACATTGTGAGATAAGAAAATTTTTTTATTGTGATTTAAGTGATTCCATATATAATGTAAAACATTTTTATTTTTACAGAAGGATATCTCTTTACTGTGGGAAACTTTGTGAAACTTTTACGTCTATGTTAATCAATGATAAAAATAAATCAAATACATGATATTTTAATAATATAAGCTAAATATGATCATATTAGATATTGAGAGTTAATAAACTGGTTTTCATAAATAGAATCTATGATTTGTAATTTAACTTTCTTTCAAATCACCAAATTAAATTTACATTTTTAATGAACTATTAAGACGCGTTGACCTTGAACTGATTCTTGTTTTAATCTGTGACTTTGTAGTTAAAGGATTGGAACTTGGCAAAGGATCAAGTAAACGTTTGCGTAGTTTCCTCGGAGGCTCTTGTAATTTGTCAAAAGTATCTGACGACTTTCGTTTCACTGAAAAATTGTTACTGACGGAAGTTTGATTACTTTCCGACAATTCTGTTTTGGGACTTTTTTGAAATAAATCAGAAAATTTGTATGAACTCAAATCAATCTCAGTTAGACCGGGAATTTGATCTGGTCTTAAAGGTCCATTACGAAATAGTTTGGCAGGTATTCCTGGATATGTTTGATTAACAGACTCACGACGTTTTTCTATCAACCGCGTTATAACCTATCAAATAAAATATCAAAATAATTTACAGGATATTATCATCACAAGTAAGTTTAAGTGGAATTATCGCACTAGTATGACAAATGATGTTTTATAGGCGTAAAGTTCACAGGAAAACATTCAAGGAACGAGAAGTAAGGCTGAATGATGGAATTACAAGACTTAAGTTTCCTTTCTATAATACATCTTACTATGTAATTAAGAAAGGATCATGAAATAAAGTTGCTAAATTAATGTTACAACTATAATGACTAGGCGTGTCTTAGGAAACTGTCTTTCAAAATCGTTCGACAAAATAAAAACCATTATTATAGGAATATGACAATCGTTTGTAATTTGGAAGTACCGTAAAAGTTATTACAAAATAGAATACTTTCCTGAAGTACACATACAGCATTAGAAAGACTAAGATGAATGTAGAAGTAAAAATGAAAGCTGAAAAATAAACATATTTTTGCAAATAAAATAATTATATAGACTCCAATAATTTACCATAAACACAATTACAATTAGAATTGTACACGATTGACATTAATTATGTCTATGTTCAATGCTCTATGTTAGCTACAACATGAAAGTGTAAATACACATTGAATTATTTATCTTATAAGCTATACGATCATTCATGGTGGTAGACTAACGGTACATAGATTAATGGTTCATTGTTTCTTTAAGCAGACTAGTATAATTCAGCATTATCATATATATATTCAAGTATTCACGGACGAAGTAAACTTATTATTCGAATGTCAAGTGTATTCTTACGGATAATAGTAGAATATTCAATAAATGGCTTGTTTTATTATTATTTCTTCTATAAGCTTCACCCTAGATAATTATTGCATTTATTTCAAGAGTATGAAGGTAGTTATTCAATCATAGCAAATAACTTTGATTTATACTATTTTGAACTTTGTTATTCCATCCAACTTGGAAAATAAGTTACAATTACACACATACACACACACAGAGAGAATAAAACAAACAAATCACAAAGAAATACCTCTTTTTGTTTTGCAATTAATTCAGAAAATCTAGTATATATAATATTTGGATATAATTCACAACCCATTAATGTGGCACCTTCATACTCTTTAATATAACCTAAATAAGCTTGTCGAGCCAGGCGTATTTCACGTGAAAATCCTTGTTTTCTAAAATAACCAGTTGCAAATGAATCAGCATAAGTAAGAAAATGGAATATTTTATGCTGTAAATGATAATCTTTCAAATGATTCATCATTTGTGTTCCGTAACCCTAAAAAAAAAGAACAAAATATTATCAAAACACAATCATCATAGTGTTTATTGAAGTACGGAACTATCACACTAAATAATTAGATTTCTATCAAAAATTTTTTTTGATAGAAATCTAAAATACTAAACAACTCAATCGCAGGTGTAGAGGCCTGGACTATGTGTTAGTTATCTTGTAACTAATTGTAGTTATGCCATAACTAACCAATCAGATTGTGGTTTAAGCGCCTACCACGTGATCTGACCTGACGTGTCTGTAAACCTACTTTGTTGTAAATGACCTACAAATTGATTGACATTATTATCTTATTATATTGATGTGACTCATAACTGTACTCATTCCCATAAGACACGCTATATTGGTCGGTACGTTTGCTCGTCTTACTTGATAATTGTAATTTCCTTATTTATTGTACTAATGTAATTGTTTTTATGTTTACAAACAGATAAAGTTGAAAGCAAAGTTGATATACTTCTAACTGTAGCTTTCCCATAGACTCTGTGCTCGCCAATATTGCGTTTACCATTCTAGAATTACATCTGTAGGACAAATTAAATCCTACACTACTTACTATACAATCGAAGATTTTGCAGGTAAAATATTTCTGACAAACAATACAACTTTCAATTATTGTGTGATTCGTTGCCATAAGTTACTACGATTAAATTAATTCGGTTGAACTGTCTAAACTCCTTAGTCACTGTCTTAATCGTGTGTATTAGTCAATTTGTATTCTTATGTCACCAACATATAGCACAATTAACATATCTAGTACCACTTAAACTACATGATTTCTACGATCCGACGAGATGGAAACTATGTAGGATGTTGGTTCGTTAATGTTGTAACGAATCAAATGATTTATAATATTCATCTATATGTTACACTCAAATATGCTAGCAAAATCTATTCCTCTTATTTAGTTTTAACAACCCATAATCAATTAGCATGTACGATTTATATACAGTAAAATGTATTTGCATTAAAATATTTAATGTATACCGACAGTTTGTTTAGAAGTGTTCCGGCCAATAAAAACTTACCAATACCATTATGTCGAATTATAAAAGTTCAAGTACAAGTTTCACTAGTTTGCGATATACTTTATAACACTAATTTAGCAACACTTAAAGATATTATACCCATTAGTTATTGATAGATTAACTAAGTACCTTCCGTACACGCTCACTTTTTAAGTATACTTTATATATAACTTACTTTTACTTGTTCATTGAAAATTACTGCACAAAACACAATTTCTGTGAATCCCTGAGATGGAAACATACGAAAGCAGATCCCACCGATAGCATGTTTTTCGCATGAATCAGAAACTTTTAATAAAATAAGATTTTTGTGTTTTCTATATGTACATACATAAGAAATAAGTGAAACAAAAAACTAAATATAAATGAAAAATATCAATAACAATTTGTTAATGTCAAATATGTTAATAAAATGTAATTGAAAAAATAAATAATTCAAAATAATGGTGACATAGAAACGTAAGTAAACATGATCTGATGACTTCATTGAGACTCAATTATATAGTGGTTTGAGTTTATATAAGCTTTATACGATAATTCATGTAAACACAACAAAAATATTTGTATTTAGATATCTTTTTATCTCATGAGAAATTAATTATATGAATTGTTAAGAGTATAATAATCTAAAAAGAATGGTTTTAAGGAGATCTAGCTACAATTTTCAATTGGTCACATTGTAAAACTAAACTTTTGGAAGAAGAGATAGAAAATGTAATAGAAAATTTAAGTATTCTAAAAACTAACTCAAGAGAATTGCTGTATGCGAAGAAACCGTGTTACCGATCGACTGCTTAAACCTTAAATAAATTAGATTGGATTGTGATGCAACAGTTGAAAGAAGCATCTCTAAACCGTTGAGATACATCTAAAAAGTTATATTTAAAGAAATTCACAAAATGTAAAGACTCTGCTGTTAAATCATTTACTGTAAAAGCTAGACGAGTAGGGAGAAAAAATAACAGAAGGAAGGAAAACATAAATATCAGCCTAATTGTGAACATCATGTAAAGAAAACTTACGGATCGAAAATAAGTCGTGCAATATACTCTTTTGGCATACGGGGTAATTGCAAAGCAAATACATTTAGTAACTCCAAAAGCCAAATATACGTTTGTGGAGGTTGATTAGGATTTAAACTGTTGTTGACTATATGAAATTCAATATTCCCAGCTGATTCTTCTTGACGTGCAGCAGCGTCTCTTGTTGCATTCAACGAATGAAGCTAAATTAATATAAGTCATCAAAAAAAAAACAGAAAAGCAATCCACAGTTGCGTAATACTAGTTGAATAAAGAAGGCGATTGAGCGTTTCATAACCATTACAAAACAGCCGAGTAATTTAGTTCTACAAAAAGTTGCACTCTTTCACAATGAAGACTTTTTTGTGTTTTCAACTTGTGAAAGTGAATGTTCAGCACGATTGTGAGGTTATTTTTTTCACTGAGTATGACAGCATTGAAGACAATTTAAGCAAATTAATATGTGTTTTAGGACAATAGCTAATAAGATAGGCATGTGAACATCAGATAATATATAAAGTACTAATATTGCTTAATAATGCATGAGTTTTACTGATGGAAATTTGTAAGACAGTTACTGAAACAACAAGGAGAAGTTCGATTCTTCTCAAGGGATGAACTACAACCGATCAGAAGAGACATGAGAAAATTGAACTGGAAATATTAACCGAATAAAGTCAATGAATATGAAATCGTTTGAACATAGAAAGAAAGTTCAATTGATTATAGTTTCATCACAGTATAGTCATGCATTTATTTCGAAATCTGATAATACGTCTATTCAGATGAAAGCTTTTCTTCATAATTCTAAACATACTGCAGTAATTCAAATATTCAAACCAGTTTGTTTTACGCGAAACTACATTTTTATACTTTAAAGAATTAAATTATGTTTGAAACAGATATGTTGTGTAGCTCTGGTTTGAGCTCGTACCTGTCTTACTAGACGTAGGAAAGATACCACAAGGAAACCTATTTAATAATAGCAAAGCTAAGAACATATTTAATGAATAATTAGAGAAACAGTTAGGCAGCTGCGTAAGTGATACCAATCCTGAGGCAGCCTGGAATAATATCCAGAATGCTCTGAAAACAGCAGTGTTATCTAATGGTAAGGTAAATCATCTACGCGCCAAATGACGAGTCTACGGTGCAGCAGTTCACTTCGACAAAAAAATACGGTATGAAACGTGGCCAGTAAGAGTAGAGAATATTCTTAGGCCACTAATATTAGATCAACAGTGTATTTGAAACATTGTTCGTATATCCTGAAACCATTGAGTTAGCAAAGCTGTGGTTACGAAATTAGTACTAGGTAAGGATCGAAGACCAATAAATTAAGTTATGAATCTTTATCAGTGGAGGTAGTTGGGACATGTGTTACGAATGCCTAACCACCGACTGCCTCGACGAACTATGTTTTGTGGTGTAGGAGTAGGTTGGAAGAAAGCTAGGGGAGGCCGAACCAAAACATGGCACAAATCCATAAAGTCACTAACTAGTGAACTGAGGAATGTTGGTTGGTGTAGACTACCTGGTTGGGGTCCGCGAGTCAATAGTAATCGATGGTTAGAGACTTTGAATGACATGGCTGAAAACCGTTTGCAATGGCCCGGGTGCATGCACTCTTTGTCTTCTTTCAGATCCTAATCTTCTGAATTTTTAGTGAATTTCTGTCTCTTTTTGCATTTATTTCACTGAATTATACTTCTTGAATGTCTGCGAGCCCTAATCTTTTTGATTACTGTTAATACTTCTAAAACCCCTACTACTATGGGATTTGAATTGAAAACTGTGTATCTGTGCTATCGTAGTGTGGCAACTTGAACTGATGTACGTACGTACGAAGTTCTATGTTGTAACTGACTGACTATTTGACCCCTGCTTTCCGGAATCGAAACCAGGATCTTCTGTCCCACGCGCGAACGCCCAACATCTAGACTCATGAGCATCCAACGATGTTAATGTGTTTACGAGTGACTAGCTACGTGGGGAAATTCTCGGAGTTTTAGTGAGAAACTATGACCAATGGAGTTCAACCCTGTCGGGTGTAGACAGTAACTACTAAAGACAATAGGTGTGGTAACGCAAAACCTCAGACTGATCAAAAGTTGGACATTAACACCGTTGGATGCCGGAGACCGAAAGTTCTGGGATCAGTTCCAGAGAGCAGGAGTCTTGGGTGCGCACTGCCGAAGAGTCCCATACCAGGACGAAACGGTCTTCCAGTGCTTCCAGGTTTCTAATAGTGGTCTAACACTGATTGGTTCAGGATTTCAATTTAAAACAACAATCTCCATAACTTAATGATGAAAAATCATAAACAATAAGGTTCAACAAGAAAATATGGAGAATATTTTTTCGATGAGGATTAATGATACTAGTCATATAATTAAACTGAACTGAACAGAATATACTTGAAACCATGGATTGATTCTACATTTATGCACTGATCGGAAAAATATTCTAGTTTATTGAGCATGACATTCTTAAATATGGTTGTAATGGGAAACCAAAAACTGAACAGAATGTATGAAAGATTTGACTTTACATTTTTACTTTGGATTTATTTACAAATAAAACATTAAATATATATTTGCGCATCAAAATAAGAACATAAATACCTAGCACAAATAGAAAAAAACAAGGCAATACAATAATAATATTTTTAATTTACCGTTTGAAAAGGATAAAATCCTTTACAAGGGCTTTCACCGTTTTTCATTTCTTGTAAGATTTGTTCTAATTCTGTATTGCTAACATCTGAAACACCTAACTTATCACTCAATGACTTTTTGATATTACTATCAGTAATTATGGTTTTGTCTTCTGATTTACAAATCGATTTTTCTGAGTCACTCGCGGACGATTGTGTATTAGTTGAGTGACTTCGGAGACGTACACCTAAAAATTCATTTCACAATTAAAAAATACAAAAAATCGAAGAGAATAGCTATTGGCCTGCATCTTATTATTATATATTAAAAACATTTCAAGCAGAATTGGAAGTTATTTTATGAAATTTATGTGTAAATTGTTTTGTTTTTCTTTGTAAGTTATGATAATTACTTGTAACTGAGAAAATATGACCACTTCATTATCAAACTGACTCATATCATACAGCGAAAAAGAACCTGCAACTTCATTGAACTATTTTTATGGACTGTTCCGATGATGAAGCAGTCACTTATATAAAAATACAGATGATATCAATATGAGTTGTTAAACGTTATATCAGAATAGCGATAAATTGTCAAGATAAAAAGGAAGACAGTAGAAATAATATCAACGGCAGTCGAAAGCTTAACATAAGAAATCAAGTTAGAAAGAAATGGACAAGAGCTATTACAATCCATACTGTATGATGAAGTATATAAACCTAATGAAGGCACTTTACTTGAACGCTTTTGGTGACTGTCGTCATCAGAATTGTCAACCCTATGTGTTGCTTGAAATTGCCCACCAACTTCAGTTTTATTTTGCTCTATTATAGACATCTTTTTAGAGATAACCCTTCCTCTGTTTGGCTTGTCATAGATCGATCGCTTACCAGATTGTTTTACAATACGCGGAAAACATAGTCCTATTTGATGAAGATGCTGACAAATTTGCTGTTTTTTAATAGCCTTGAGTAACAATCCAATGCTTGGGATGCGTTTCTCCCCTTCCATAACAGTCCTTGAGGACTGGTCTGCACCAATGACTAAACTAGGGATAGGAAGTGAAGTTGATTGCATCGATTACTTCACGTATCTCAAAAGCTATACCAATCTTGGAAGGTTAGTGTTGGACACGGACGAAAAAACGACTTGATTTCAGCAAGTGACGTTATATACAGTGAGTGAGATGTTTATTTCTTAACATACAAGTGAGCAAATTGCTTAACAGTTTTCTAAGTTTTACTCTATGGCTGTGAAATGTGATGTTCGGAAATAAGTGACGTTTAAAAGTTACTGACTACATATGTCTTTGAAAAACTCTTCACGTATGTTGGGACAACCAAGCTAACAAGGCTGAAAGTAGATGAAAATCAGCTGAAGCTGTAAATATTTCTCGAGTGAGCTAATTGAGACACATTTTATGTACATTTGATCAGTGTTTATCTCAAAACCTAAAGGTGGTTACTGAAGAAGTAAGGTAGCAGTTGGTCAGTCAGTTATAACGTAGAATTTCGTACAAACGTACATCAGTTCAAGTTGCCATACCACGATAGCACAGAGACACAATTGTCGATTCAAATCCCATAGTAGTAGATGTAGTAGAAGTATTAGCAGTAATTGGAAAATTTAGTGCTCTCAAATATTATTCAAGTAGAATCTAGTGAAATAAACTTAAGATAAAAGATAAAGGTGATGAGCAATTGAGGTTAGTATTTGACAGAACACAAAGAATAGATGCACCTGCGACATTGCAAACAGTTTTCATCCATGTCATTCAAGGTCTCTAACCATCGTTTACGATTGACCCGCCGACCACACCAGTTAGTCTACACATACCAACATGGTTCAGTCCACTTGTCAACAACTCCATGGGATTTCTGCCACGTTTTGGTCTGGCCGCCCCTAGCTTTCTTCCAACCTACTCCTACTACACAACAAAACAAAGCTCGTCGAGAGAGTTGGTGGTTAGGCATACGCAGCACATGTCCCAACTACCTTCACTGATAAAGATTCACAACTTCATCACGCCATCCCACATAACTGCTTACAGAGAGATACAATTACAGCTAGACCCAAGGAACGATATTTTTGCCATGGAACTTCATCACAGCCAATATTATAAACCTTGTAATAGGTGCTGATTTTCTGCTATCCCATAAAATACTTGTGAACTTTAAAAACCGGAAACTTGTATATACTGATCACATATAACAAATAAAAATTGCCTACCGAAAAGTTTATGCATTTGCTAACCACAATATGAAGCTTACAAGTACACTGAGTCGTTCAGTCAGTCCCCTAATTTACAGCAGCAGATACTTATCCATCTGATTGCAGTTAACCCTCATAAACATGAATTCAGAAAGAATTCGTCGCAACTCCCTGAACATAAACTAGACAAATAAGATGTTTAACCTTGCTCATCGGAAATAAGAGAAGTAAAAAGACATTTGAAAAGCACAAAAGATTATTAGACATGATTATCTTCTGTTGTCGTTTCACACCTCAATGTCTACACATTGCTGAAAGCCGTAAACATCCAAAAACCATATGCAGTGATGACAAATGCTTAGAATGTGGCTCTTGGAGAGGTACTACTGAAGATGATTTCATATACTTAGTAAACGCAAATGATTTTATCCAACAGCTAATGAAAGATTTGGAATAAATGAATTAAGATTTCTAGTCATTTAGGAGGCATAAGTAGATGTTGGTGTTTTTGGTATTAACCAAAAACAAGTATGATAGCGCAAACGTATCAGCAAAATAATTTCTCCACTATATCTGAAAATACTGTTTGGCACCACACAACTTTATTTCACAAATAAGTTCAAGGATCCAACGGATAAATTACGGACTATGGGTCTTTATAGAACTGTTAACTGGTAATCCGTCGATACTAACGGTAGGAATACTCACGATGAGGATGTCTAGACTCCATGCGACTACACAATCTCTAATCAGAAAATTAGACGAATGGGAATAACTGATAGGACACTGAGCTTAAAGTCACATCAAGTGTAATGCTTCAAATAATAAAGTGAATGCCTTCAATGAAAATTCGCTAACACTTACTTGTCCTTCTATTAGTTGAATGCTCCATAACTTTTGAAGGCTTTGCAAATGAATCCTCTGGTTCGGATTTAATAGGTGTATTAACTATCAGATCCTTATCACCATTCACCAAATCTGGATTAATAAACAGTCTCTCTACTTTCAGATCAGTGACAACTGGTGTAACAACTGAGTCACTTTTCAGTTCATTTGAACGACTGACGATTGTATTACGCTGATCTCCAGGAAAATTGACAACGTGATCAATAGAAATAGACTGTAATAATTCACTTGGTGTAATTACATTGTCGGAACGCAATGGTGGTTGAAAATACGGATCCCAAACGGAAGTTGTATTACCATCAATATTATCTTCCAGCAAATTGCATAGTCTGAATAGGAAATAATTAGAATGGGAATCAAATAACAATGAATAAAATAACTTTAAGGATTTAACAACGAAAATTGACAACTACTTACCGTGTTAAAGGTTGTATTAAATGTGCCTTTGCATCCAGAATGGATGGGATTATAGATTCTTGTTTGAAAAAATCGATTAGTTTTCTTTTAACTTCAGGCAAAACTGCTAACAAAAAGTTTTTTCCAAATGCACATGTAGCCTCTGTATATGGTAAGGTAAGACAAAACTTTGGCACATAACAGTGGCATATCCACCTGCAATATATATAATAATTATGTGTTTGTAATACTAAATACCTCATGTAGATTAATTTGTATCCTATTTTGTTTTCATGTTTCTGAATCCTTTGACTTGGGTACGTCATTTTATATGAATTCACATAGGATAAGAATAATTTACACAGTTCAATTGTTATTTCTGGATTTTGAGGATCAGTGACAGCACAAAATAGTAACGCGTTTCGTACAGCCTTTTAAGAGTTGAATAATAAAATGAACTTCGCATTTCATATACTTACTGTATTGATATCAGGTCGTTCGAAAGGAGGTTTGTCATCGAAAACGGGTTGTATTTTATTCATTAACGCTTTACGAAGACGCTGGATATGAAATTTAAGTAATTATCTTAAGAAACCTTACCTTTAAAATACAAAAGTATATATTTCTTGTTTCATAATCCTCTTCCTTGGCACATAAGATATACATTCGTTCTACATCGTCAACCATTTGCATCGCAGTATTAAGCCATGTACTCTCGTTTGGATCAGACAAGCTATAGTGAACATGACCACAATTTTCGCATACAGCTTCAATGACTTTATCCTCTATTCTGTTGTCTGCAAGTTTCCATATACTACATTTACAACCTTCATTCTGAAATTATATATTTATACAAGGTTATTCATATACTCACTCCACATTTAGAATAAGGCAGATATCTCAACAAGTTTTGATGTAAAGTCGAACTGTCCATAGTTGGATTATCGTTTTCTATAAAATCAATATTTGTTTGTCATCACTATCGAATCCATCATCCAAAGTGAATGAACATTTGGAATGGAGAGCTCTGAAATGCAAAAACCAAATTTCATTGTTCAGTATCGTCAAAATAATTGAATAATGATGAGGAAAATAATCAAAAACTAATAGACTTTTTGAGAACAAACCTTTTAGAAGCCTTATGATATGTATTTCAAGGCAAATAAATGATAATACTTGCAATGCTATACTTTCCTGAGATGGGTTTATTTATTTAAGCACAAGAATGTTGGTAAAAAGCGGCATCAAAATATATATGCACCAGCGCCACCATCTTAGCCTTTTTTTCTCAAGATCCTGAACTCTATGTGCACCATTGGTTTGGAATCTGAGTTTTATAACCCCTCTAGTTTTCCGAACCCACCGTCACTTTTCGTTCTCTTAACTTTGTAAAAAACACAATGAGAAGAGACAGTAAGAATGAAAACCATGTAGACTTGACTGTGAAGCTTGAGAAACTATAATGCTGAGAATCCCTTTGTTCTGTGAACCTTATGAGTTAAAATCCGCAGGCCTGTTATTCAAAATGATATTCATATTTTAAAAAGACACTGTAGTGAACTATACTACTTTTAAAAAATTGGCTCACTACGCAAGAGAATTTGCTGTAGACTGAATTGAGAACCCAGAGATATCTCTATTACACTCAAAATATCAGGTCGGTCAAGGTGCTGACAAATGTCACGAGCAATGTACCTACTAGTAGACAACTGTCAACAAGTTGTTATGCGAAACATCAAAATTTTGGGACGCATTTCTTACTCCCGAAAAATTAAGTGTACAGAGGTGGAGTCATGTTACTTACGAGATTCTATAAAATGAAAGACATGATAAATTGAAACCGGCGGATGCCATCTTCTGTACTTAGGAATCGAATTTCGCTCTCTTCAACTTTTCGTCACAGAAATTGATAAGCTGTACCATTTCGGTCGCAAATATTATATTCACTATCAAAAACAACATAAGTGACTGGGCTAAACGTTGCCTAAAATAAGTAGTCCATTTGAGCAAAAAATAATATAGACAATCTCAACCACGAAGACCTATGGTAAAATAATAGCACGGCATGTCAATGCTAGCATAGTTTCATTCAGTCTTGTAAAAACTACGGTTTACCTTGTTGAAGACTATTTAGTAATATGGTGGACACTGAGTGCCTGATGGTGAGTAATCGGGTTCAAAATCAAATGGATTTTAGACAAATAAATAGAGGAATTACATTGAACCAATGAAGAGATAACTTAAACGAAAAGGATTAGGCCTTATATGATCAGTCAGCCAGTTACAACTTAGAACTTCATACATGAGTACTTAAGTTTAGGTTGCCATACCGCATCCGCACAGAGACGAAACTGTCAGTTCAAATCCCATGGTGGTAGAGAGAGTAGAAGCATTAACAGTAATGGAGAAAATTAGGGTTCGAAGATATTATTCGGTGACAAGACTTTAGAAAGAGAAAGATAGAGATGAGGAATTCACGTTAGAATTCGAGAGAACACAAAGAATGGATGCACCCGAGCCATAGCGATCGACTCTGAGCTATGTCGTCCAAGGTCTCTAACCATTGGTGACTTTTGTCTCGTGGACACCAACCAGGTGGCCTACATCTACCAACGTGACTCATTCCACTTGTCAGTGACTCCATGGATTTCTGCCATGTTTTGGTTTGGCCGCCCCTAGCTTTTTTACAACCTATTCCTACGTCCAAAACATCACTCGTCGAGGAAGTCGGTGGTTGAGCATATGTAACACGTCCTAACCACCTTAACCGATGCATTTTCAATACTTCACCAATTGATCTACCATCCCACCTAGTACTTGTTTCCTAACCATAGCATTGCTTACTCGGCTGTCCCAGGATATACGAGTTATGCTTCGAAGACATCGATAATTAAATACTGATAGCCTACGAATGCCCTCTACTCTTACCGGCGAAGTTTCGCATCCAAATAGTAGAATGGAGCGAACTGCTGCGTAGTACACTTGTCCTTTGGTTAGCAAACCGATATCTCGCCTAAGCCATAGGTGACACAAGTTGGCGAAAGACAGTCGAGCCTTCTGTATGCGTGCTGAGATTTCTTGAGTCACCAGGCCATCAGCACTCATGAAACTCCCGAGATAAGCGAAGCGGTCTACATGTTCGACTACTTCACTTCCTATCACTATTTCAGGTGCCGATGGCTTTGCATGATACACATGAATTGATGACCAAGCTGCGAAGCATAATATTTTTCACAGTTATTGATTAATATCGTGTACCAACATTTCAGTTAACTACACGGTTTTAAGTCTTACAGCTACACACATGTGTACGAACAGGACTCCCAAAACACTTACTTAAACCTCAAGAATTTTCTGACCTGAAGTCTTTAAAACTCGCCAAACTTGCTGATATTTGAAGTTCATTAAAAATCTAAATATATGAGTTAGAGCAAGAAACCAATAAACACGTGAGCTCTGATAGAACTCGGAATGGTTCCATTTTATAACCGGTGTTTTAAAGATGAACATCTAAAATCAATAGCCTTATTGTCGAAAATTAAGTTTTGTTTTTCGTCATGATTAAGGAAAATATAATAGAAAGTCATCCACGGTAAATAAACACACTGAGTCTATGCCAACGACCTGTAGATATTTGACTGCTGTCAGTATAAAACGTACCTACGGTTTTCCACAGAGCTATCAGGAGTCAAGTTATGTCTTGAACTATCCTCAAGAAAACCGCATGTGAACAGCATAAAATTTAGCATGAAAAGCATCATGTCAGTCATGGCCAGAATTCGAAAATCATGATCATTAATGTCATCATAAGAAAGTAATCACTCATAGTGAAATCGAAAACTGGACCAGGTTATCTTGAATTTACTACACAAATCAAATACTACTTTTTTACATTAACTTAAATGAGGATTTCCAGTGACACTACAGCAGAGACCGAAAAAAACAGAGAAAATCGGAAATGGCGAATGTCGAAGTAAGAGAGCTTAATAGAAGTCATGTAAAACTACAAGGCTGATGATTTCTGTATTGGTATGACGACGCCAATAATTAGTCAACCTAAATTAATACTTGTCTAACCTGCAGCTTGCATTTTCCCGACATCCGACCTTATAGCTTAAAATAACCGCTATTGTTATAACAACTCCAATCCAATATCCAATATCTTTTTCACGAGCAAGTGTAAACCAATTTGATTTCTTCGCGCTCGATTCTTGTTCTTTCGGTACGGTTCCAGGTGTTCGGTAATGTCCAATGGATGGAGGTCTAGCCACTCGACTGTCTAATTCTAGTCAGTTGGCAGTTGGTTGTGAGTTTGTATGTCTCGGGATTTGAATGAAACGTTTGTTTCAGGGCAGTAGGGTTTCTCGATACTAGCAGCCGTCACATTACCGAACCGGAGATCAGTTAGTTGCAATGTGGAGAGTAATAAGGGTAATAAGGATAAATTAAAATGATAATATGTGTAAAATTACAGAACTGAGTAATATATAGATGAATTTAGTTTATTAATTGGTAGTGAAGATTGTGAGAGAGGACCGAAGTGTCAGCAAGGGAGAGGAACAGGCGAGATAGATTAATTGAGTGATCTGAGGAGATGGCAATGGTAACAACTAGCAGGTCTCAAGATATGCATCAGGCACAGCTTGTCCAAGAGGGAGATGATAGTCCGCATGTGAGTACGTGATTATCAAGTCTCTTCTTAAAGCAGTCCACTGACGGGGCTATAACTACCTCGGCTGGGAGAGCATTCCAAGTTGCGACGACTCGCAATGAGAAAAAGTGTGCACGAATCTGAGTATTTGCTCTTTGATATGCAATCTTTCGAGGATTGCCTCGAGGGGAGTGGTGGTGATGCATCGGTAAGATGCTCACATTGGGATGGTTTGGCGTGTTTAATATGGTGTAGGCCATAATCAGGTCACCTCTGATTCTCCTGTAGCTCAGTATGAATAGTCCCAAGAGCTGGAGTCTATCGTCGTAGGGTTTATTTTTCAACCCTATCACCCATTTCGTTGCTCGTCTCTGCACTCGATCCAAGAGATTAATGTCCCTTTTAAGCAGAGGGGGTGCGATGACGTTGTGAACCTCCAAGTGTGGGCGCGCGTACGTCTTAAACAGGGTTATAAATAATTTCCGGGTGATAGCACCAAGCTGTCTTCGCATAAAGTGAAGAGTCGCATTTGCCTTGGCTGCATCCCCTACATAGTTCGTACTCGTGTGGAGGCTTTCTGTTGTTATTAAACCAAGATCGCGCTCTGAGGAGACATTAGGGAGCGGACTTCCATTGAGAATGTAGGTGGTTTGCGTCATATGAGGCAGGAAATGCATGACGTGGCACTTCGGTCGGTTGAGTTTTAAACCGTTTTTCACCGCCCATTTCTCAATGGATGTAAGGTCCTTTTGAAGCTCAGTCGAATCCTCTTCGCTTCTAATGGACCTCCAGATCTTCGCATCGTCTGCGTAGATCAATGCCGGTGAGCTAACTAAGCCTAGCAGGTCGTTAATGAATATCAGGAAGAGGAGTGGGCCTAGGATGGTCCCCTGTGAAACTCCTGAAGTGGATACTCTCCGACTCGCGTGCACCCTGTTTACCTTGGTGCGAAACTTTCTATTCTCAAGGTAGTTTCTGAGCCAAGATACGAGTGGGCCAGTGAAGCCCATTTCCACAACCTTTTCGATTAGGCGTGCGTGGGGCACTGTGTCAAAGGCTTTTGCAAAGTCGAGGAATACTGCGTGCACTGGTATTTTACGGTCCAAGCAGGATGTCCAACTGTCCCATGCGATGAGAAGATTAGATGCACACGACCTGCCTTTCCGAAACCCGTGTTGAGCTTCATGGAGTATTTTATTCTTATCCATGTATTACCTCATTTGTTCGTCCACTAGTCCTTCCATAACGTTTGATAATATAGGTAGCAGTGCGACTGGTCTGTAACAGGCTGGGTCCTTTCTATCTCCTCCTTTGAAGATTGGAGAGAGAGTAGCTTGATTCCATTCCGTTGGCAATTGGTGTGACTCCAGTGAATGCCTGAACAGGTTGCATAACGGTGAACAGAGGGCCTCAGCGCACTGCTGCAAGACTATAGGGCGGATTTTGTCACAACCTGGTGACTTACCTGAGCGTAAGGATTTTAGCTTCCTTAATACTAGGTCAGGAGTGATACGGATGTTCCCCAGGTTCTTCTTTTCTGGCGTTTTGGGTGTGATTGAGGTACGTCGTCCACGACAGCGTTTTGGATGATATCTCTCACTGCTTGCCAGTGATCATCTACTGTCAGCCTCCACCACTCCCGTGGCCATGGGGCATGTAGGAGCACCTCTCTTGTGCATGTGTAGTTTGCCCTACTGTAGCAAAGGTAAGGCTCGTTATCGTAGCGTTTCGTTTGTGACTATGTTAAACAGGACTGTGCCATGGTCACTACTACCTACTGGAGCGCGGATGTGAACATCCTCAACCAGGAGCTGGTCGTTCGTTAACAGATAATCTAGGTTTGAGGACTTCCCTTCCTTAGTCCACCTAGTGGCGCTGCGTACGTGCTCAGTCAGGCCAGAGCTTCTAATGGCTATACCAGGTTGTCTTTGGAAACAACCAGTGGGAGTTATACTCTGATTGCTGAGATTTAAAGATGGGGTATTGAAGTCTCCGGCTAAGAGTATTTGATCAAACCCTAGGAGTGGTAGTTGCAGTATTACCTCAATCAGTTTGCTTTCCTGGGCCCTAGTACCCGAAGGAGGTCGGTAGATCCCTCCAATCAAGTATTTCGTGCCATTCGAGTGGAAACTACACCAACATGATTCTATCACCTCAGTTAGTTGGGTGTCGTATAGTCGCCCTGTTTTTAAGTTGCTATTTATATATATCGCCACTTCACCTCCAGTTTGGTGTTCCCTATCGCTTCGGAAGAGTTTCATGCCTGGTAAGCTCACTTCTGCGTCTGCAATGTCAGGGGATAGCCATGTTTCTGTTAAGATTATGATCTTCAGATCAATCTGAGAGCACATATTCCTGATTTCTAACAGCTTACCCCTTAGTCCTCTTACGTTGCTATAGAGGCACCTGGTGGTTTGTCTCAGAACCTGGTGCACATGTGCAGCATCAGCCTTAGTCGGGTTTTCAGACAAGTTATTTAAACCGAGTCGCCCAGTTCTGTGGGAACTGGCCTCTGCAGGTTTTTGGCCTGCGCGGTCGGTTCACTCATATCTTGTGCCGGAGGTAGTTGACCGAGTTTAACTATCAGCTGTGTGCGTTCATTTTGGCCTCCCTGTTGTTGTCTCACAGATCTAGGTCGGCTCTCACAACATCTGATGTGGCTAGGTAGATCGTTCTTCGAACTGTACCAAGCTTGTAGTGTTTCAGTCAGGTCTTCCCCGTTCCTAAGTGTTACAGCCATCAGGCGTGGTGACTTGATAGACGTGGGGTGTGACGGGCGGGGCAACCTGGAGATGCAGACTGCCACCGGGGTGTGGAGGGATAGGCTACGCGATAGCCATCGCCACTGTTGCACATCGTGCTCGTGTGCTTCGTCCGGGTTACCGCTGGTGAGTTCGGGTATGCCGTGAACTACCATGGTTGTCTGTTCTTGGGTGTCTGGTGCAGTTCTGGCTGCTGCACGTACCGACCACGGCTTGCCATGCCTGATACGAATCAGCGAGGACAATTTGACCGATGGTCTTTGGGATGAAAGGATGATGTCTTCAGCAAGTCGTGCTGAGTCAAGAGTTACCCTTATTGGAGGGGGTTTTCCTTTCGAGACGTTCTGGCCTTTGAAAAGGCGGCATATTTTAGCTGGGACCTCGCACATTCCGAGGGTTGAGCAGAGTTTATCCCATTGCTCTTTATCGAAGGCAGCCCTACCTTCTAGCAAGCTTCTTTCCGACACTGGGACATTAAATAAGATGAGTGAGTTAGATCTTTTGTCCCTGGTCTTGGGTGGAGGCTGCTTGTGAGTTGGGGTCACTTGTCACTTGTTTTACCAGTTTAGTGCCAGTCGATTTTGCTTTGGTCGTTTGGACTTTGGGGCTGGTTTTAGGTGGCACCTGTGGCTTTGTCAGTGCCTCAGAAACTCTGCACCGAAGGCAGATGTACCAGAACCATGGGCAGGGGTGACTCAGCATGAAACTTCTGGGGCGCAGGTCAGTTAGTTGCAGTCTGGGTAATAATAGGGAGAAAATTCTAAAGCTTTGAAGAATATTTCAGAAACAAATAGATAAACAAATTATATTGATTTTAAGTGAGGATTGTTCGAGAGGACGGAAATGTGAGCGAAAAAAGAGAAAGCAGAGATAATAAGCGAGATAGAGTAGATAAGTGAGTGACCTGAGGAAATGACAGTGATGATTTCAAGCGAGCTTTCGATACGATTCAGGCACAGCTCGTTCAAGTGGGAGATGATAGTTCGTATGTGATTACGTGTTTGTCAAATCTCCTCTTGAAGCTATTCACTGAATGGGCTATAAACACTTCGGCTGGGTGCAACTCCCACCGATGGTTATCGGGTTCATTCCTGGCGGCATGCTCTTTGATATGCACTTTTTCGAGGGTTACTCCATGGGGCATGGTGGTGAAGTGCCTAATATGCTGTATTCCATTATCACCTCTGATATTCCTGCAACTCCAAGAGAATGATCCCAGGTGCAAAAGTCTATCTACTTAAGGTTTATTCCTCAACCGTTTCTTCCATTAGGTTCCTCGATTCTTCTGGGCTTTGAATGATTTGCTTCTGTTTTAGGGAAAGGGGTTCAACGACTTCGTGAACGTCAGGGTGTGGTGGTGAGTATGTTTTAAACAATATTTAGAATCATTCTGGGGTGACGACATCAAGTTGTCTTTGCACAGAGTTAGGAGTTCAGTTCGCCTTGACTGCACCCAGCATTAAGTTTGAAGTTGTGTTCAGGCTTCTCGTAGTGATTAGAGCGAGACAGTTTAAAGGCGAGTTAAAAGTATTAAAAGAGCTAACATATTTTCTGTAAACGTCTATTCAGTTAGATAGATATTTCACAAGATACACTGTCGATTCATCGAAGGCTCATATTTTTCACATAAAATGGTTGATAATGTTTCAGACTCAGTAATGTACAATACAACAGTTGGCGCGAGTGATGTTGTTTGTGTTGTGACCAATGA